ATTCCTCCCCACAGTGTTCCCTGGAATACCACCAGGAAGAATCAAGTCCTGCTGTAGGGGGCTTGTCCTGGCTGCTTGGCACTTAATAGCAGCCCATCATGTCACAATGGGTTTCCATTGTGTGTGAACCTGCCCAGTAATTGTGTTGAATACTAAAGCGAACAATAAGCAAAGAGGAAGGTTTCTAGACAGCTTGCAGGCAGTGATTCACAAGTGCTCACCTCCATTCCAGCTCTAGACCAGTTTGTTTTTAACAGGCTCCAGAATGATTCTCAGTCTGCATGCTTGGGTGAAGGGGTGGAGTGAATAGATGTTTCTTGGGCTGGGTGTATCAACCGCTGTGCAATGTATGCAGATATTTCACTGGGCGCTGCCTTTCTGGCTTAGTGGACACCTTGATGTGATAGTACCTTTCTAAGAACTGAGTGTGCTACATGCACACGGAAGGTTGCCAGAGCAGTTCTTGGTGCTTCTGCTTGTAGGAATGCAGCTAATTGAGATAGTTTTGTTTCATTTAGTGGAGAGGTTTGTTTTGCCTCATGCTCAAGGTCTACCTTATCATTTTTTTCTGGAGTTTGGATAGATTTTCTCTTTCAGGATAAATTGACCTGGAGAGTAACTTTCCCCCGTCTCCTACCTTACATGGCTTGGCTTTTGCTTTACTTTTGAACCTTTCTGCTCTTCAGGGCCCAAAATCTATGAGAGCCAGATTAATTGCTTTATGTGTGTTATGGCACAGTTGGGTTGCGGTGGTTTGATTCCATCAATGATTTCCAGCCAGTGATTTTGTAATTCTGGCTGGCAATTTTGATCCATGAGTCACCTCCATACTCTCTGCAATGGGAAGGAAGAGGAGGGCTCTTCGTCTCTTTGACAATGCTCAAGAAGGAAGCCAAACTGAAAGGGACAGATTGGGAAGTCTCTCCCTGTTAGTCCAGGCTTCTGGGATTGAAGGCTAGACAGTCCTATTCTGTGATTTGGCTAAGCAAGCTTCTTACAATGATTATGGAAAAATGTTTAAAACCTGCTTAACCATGTTTAAAAAGTATAAGTTATTTTAACATGGAATAATGTGTTGTGCTTGGCAATGGGACCTGTGCTTTGTTTGCTCTCCACTGCCTGCTGTTTGCTTGTTTGTTAAGGCTCCCTGTTTGTAAAAGCATTCAATTAATGTTATGCTTTGGGAATAAAGAGACCAAACTAACTTCTTGCAATTCCCTGTTCATCTAATTTTCTCTGATTTTTTTTATTGTAAATGGAGGTAATTTTTTCCTTTTCTTTGCTGGGAACTTACTGTTCCTGCTTGACAGCAAGTGGCATGATAACAGATAAAGTTAGGATGATGTTTACGTTGCTGTTAATAATGTAATCTCAGTACAAACACAGTCCGAGCTCTTTGCTTCCTGTCACCTTTGCCAGGGCAGGAGGTAACTGTTTAACAACAGTGAGAGTTTGTGTTCATGTGATAATTTGTGTTTGCCTCTTTTGTATTTACCTTAGAGCATTTACTAAGCACCCGTCTAATTCAGCATTTTCTAATTTCTGGTGGTAGCAAGCAAGATGGCATAATGATGGATGATTCCTCCTAGATACTAGTTTACCAGTGGAAAATTGCCTCCATCTGCTATGTAAGAGTAGGTTTTGTAGCTAAGCAGAACTAATCTTTACTCTTATTTTTTCATGTGTGATATCTCCCACTTCCAGCTTAGTTAGAGATATTTATTTCCTTCTTTTGTTGCCAAGGGGGCACCTGCCTGTACATTGACCATCTGAAACTCCCCATTCCTGCACCTGCACAGTTCTGCATGTCCACATTGGCACAATTGCAGGCATTTAAAAAACAACTGCAAATACTTAAGAAAAATTAGGGGGATGCTGGCTTTCACTCCAGAAGAAAAAAACGGGTACAGTAAGCAAAAGGCTGCAGTGAGCCCAGAGCAGCTTGTGACTGGGGCAGGGAAAGGGGAAGCCAGTGCCAGTTGCTACTTGGACACTTCTGGGGCAGCAGGCGCTGATACATGCTTGGAAAGAGTGGCAAGAGGCTCTTGTTGTTATGACCAAGTCGGTTGTTTCCTGCTTCCCTGTGCCCACAATGGAGCTGGTTCCTGGGTTCAGGTGACTGAACAACCCATTGTGGGTAGAACAACGCGTAGAACAACTAATGGGCTGTCAGAGTGTCTTGTTGCCATCACACAAGTTACCCTACAGGAATCAGCCTGGGTGCACACGACACTGAACTGTCAGGGATGGGCCCCAGCACTTGATCCTAGTGTCTAGATAGATGAAAGTCAGGAGAGGCTTTCCACTGGGAATCATTTATTTTATTATTTTATTTTATTTTTCAATTTATATCCTGCCTTTTTCCTACAAAGGGCTCAAGGCAGCTTACATCATTCTCCTCCTCCATCTTATCCCCACAACAACAACCCTGTGAGGTAGGTGGGGCTGAGAGTCTGTGACTGGCCCAAAGTCCCCCAGTTGGCTCCATGGCTGAGTGGGGACTAGAACCCAGATCGTCTGAGTCCCAGTCCCATGCTCTTAACCACTGCTTGCACTGGCTGCCTACAATTCAAGGTGCTGGTTTTAACCTACAGTATAAAGCCCTACACAGCCTGGGACGATCATGAGAGCCAGTGTGGTGCAGTGGTTAAGAGCATGGGACTGGGACTCAGACGATCTGGGTTCTAGTCCCCATGCTCTTAACCACTGCACCACACTGGCTCTCATGATCGTCCCAGGCTGTGTAGGGCTTTATACTGTAGGTTAAAACCAGCACCTTGAATTGTAGGCAGCCAGTGCAAGCAGTGTCATACGATCGGATTTTCTGAACCCTGTTCTTGGTCTGGCAGCTGCATTGTGCATGCACGTCTCCAGCTGGCTGTCAAGTCAGCTACCCTGAACTTCAAAAAGCAAAGGTAAAGGGGCAAACAAGCTGTGAGGAGCTGAAAGCAGGAGGGAGGGAGTTGGTGCTTGTTGTATTTTTTATTTATTTTTTATTTATTAAAACATTTCTATGCCACCCCATTCGCCGAAGCCTCGGGGCGGCTCACAACATAAATTAAAATACAAGAAATAACAATATAAAATAAGTCGCCCTGGCCAGCATTTGTACTCAAATGCTGCTTAGATCCTCGTGGTGCAGCCTGCCCTAACAGAGCAGGACTAGCTCTGGAAGAGTGGCAAGGAGTTTCTTATGAGCTATGAGAAGCCACGATGGAAAAACAAACTTTAGAATAGTCCAGGGGTTCTTACCATGGGTAGTTTGAAAAAAATGTGCCTGGTGCATAACTCATGCTGGGTTCACACAAGGTGACAACCAGCCATTGACTGTTATCATTAATTGGTTGTCTTATCATGCAAAGCCAGTCAGCAGCTGGGTGGTATACCCATGGTGGTATATCTGAAGGCCGCCCCACTTACCATACAAAGTGAAATCTGGGTTTGCCACAGGCAGTTCACACAATGAGACAACCCATGGCTTGTCCATTCCTTGCATGCTGAACAGGGAAACTGCCTCTTTAGGTTGCTGTTCAATCCCAGAACTCTTGATTGTGGGTAGAAAAATAGCCAATAGGTTATTCTGGCACTAACCAGATACATACAGTGGGAACAGCAGCCATGTATGGTTCTTTTCCTGTGTATTTTCAAAAGTTTGCCATATCCAACGTTTTGGGGGGGGGTTGTGGGGGGGTGTATGCTAAAAATGGCTTGGACTGAAGTTCCAGTCCTTCCTGGGATGGATGAAAGCTTCAGTCCAACACATCTGGAAGGCAGCAAGTTGGGTAAAGCCTAGGATATGGAATGCGCTGGTTGTTCTCCTATTTTACAAGTAGCAGATTTATACTTGTATGTGTATTTTATTGGCTATAAGCTGCTTAGAAGTCTACTGAGTGGCTAGAAATTGATATAGAAATGTCATAAAAAATAATAGCCTCCATGGGGAAAGGTGTCCTATGACATCAGGGTTTTCACTCCCATCTTAAATATTTTACTGGTGAGCGGGCAGGAAGATTTGAAATTGGAGCTGTGACAGTGTGGATAATGTCTGATTTAGTTGCCGGGAGGTCAATATCAATTAGCATCTCACTGCTGCACCATCACTGAACTTTGTGCTGTCTCCCTATCTGATCTGCACTTGACACAAAGGATGCTTCCTGTGTTTGTGGAGGGCAGGTGATGCAGAGGACAGCACAAATGAGTGCAGGTCGAAAGCCTGTGTAGGTGGGAAAGGAGTTGTGGGACTGAGCTGAGGGGATACGGTCTCAGGAAGTAGGAAAATGAAGGGCAAGGGACCTCTTTGGCAGAATAGCTGATGGGAAGTGGTTGTGTGTGCTTTTGGCCTCCTGTTTGAAAGGAGAGGAATTATACAGCTCATAAAATACTTGAAGGAATGCAGCAGTGGTAACCCTTTCAGCAGTAAATATTCAGGCAGAATGAAGGCACTGGTTCAAGTTGCATTGCACTGTGAAAAATGCTTTAAGCACATCAACATTTTGTATTCCCCTCTCTGAATGGAGTAGAAAAAAATCTTTGACTTTTGCTACATTCTGCATTGTGTTATATGTTAGGCATGTGTTGGATAGAAGAGTGATAATGCAGCCTACCTTATCAGGTTGTTGTAACATTTGTTGTTCTACCCTGTGCACATATCATCACTATGTGTTCTCAGAACACATGGCGCAAGAGACGGGGCAAGCACATCTGGCCCTGTTCCTCCCTCCAGATGTTCTCAGTGAATTCCCAAGTTTAAGCACTTGGGGAAAACAGCTATTCTATGAATACTCAACAGTCTAATTTATAAGTATCAATTTTACACTGTCTCAGTTTGGTATGTTTTTGTGTAATTTCACTTGCAAACATTTGGATTTATCTGCTTGCATTTTTTTCTCAGAAAATAAATGTAATTTTATCAACAACACTTTGAAAAAGAATTGAATGGTTCAGGTAGCCCAGAGAATATATTCCCAATTCTTAAATCTGCTAATTTCTTATTCCTACAGCTGATCGTTGTAAAGAGGTACATCAGATCCGAGAACAGCATCCAAACAAAATTCCCGTGAGTACAGGATTTGTGTGTGTGTTTATAAAATCTTTTGTTGTTAAAGAGCATTGTTGTGATCTGGGTACCACGCGTTTGACCCTGAAGATCAACATACTAAGGTGCTCATCTTTCTCTCATATTGTCAGCTCATCCACACATCTTACTTCTTTTAGAGATTAGATATCTCTTTTTATTAGGGCATCAAGTTCCACAACTGGAGCCTGGTGCAAATAAAATAAAAGGAATCATTTAGAAATAAAGAACATCAAGCCCTGGGATTTGTTTTGTGTACCAGAACTGAATGGAGCCCACAGTACTTCCTTACAAAACTATTCCTGGTCACTCAGATTGTTCTTCTTTTCCAAAGTTTTGTTAGGGCATGTCGGAGTGGGCAGGGGACCAAAGAGGACATCTGTGTCACTTCTTGCTTTCTTCTCTTGTCTGGTATTTTCTGCTTTGGAGTAAACATTCCCAGGACTCACTGCAGTGCTGGGTCCAGATTCTTTTGGACCTTTAGAAGATGCAGAATTGAGTTGCAGGAGTCAAGGCCTTTGAGGAATGACGGCTGGGAGGAATTGGGGTCAGGCAAGATCGTGACATATGTTATCTCTTACCTGGTCATGCACCAAGCCAAGAAAAACCAAGATGAAGATGCTGTTTTTCAGTGAACTCCTTTATGTAACTAGGCCCTGGTAAGTGTCCAGCCTGGCTTATTGCAGGTATGCACTGATTCCCAACCCACAAGGGCAATAAAAAGAAACAGTTGTCCTTTATTACAGAGTCTGAGCAGAATTACAGAATTCCTCCCACGTGGCTTCTAGTTCTCTTTCCATTCTCATCTCATCCTGGTCAGCACTCCTTGTTGTTTTCTTTTTTCAAAACAGTTCTTTGGGCCCAGAGATCCAATTACAACATTATAAAACCTGTATCTCCCTGCTGAGTTATAAACACAAAGATCTCATGGCATTAACCTTGAATTAATGGTGCAGATGTCAAAGAGAAATTGGAGTGTTGCCGGGAGATGTTGTTTCAAGGCACACACAAGCTTATTCCAGGTTTCTTCCATTGCTAGAGCAAAGGGATGTCTGATGATCTGCCTCAAGACTAAAGCGGAGAGCATGAGCTTTACATGGGAAATGTTTTCTTGGAAATGCTCTTCCATCATTTTTAAAAATAATAACATGATCATGTTTCCCTCTTTGCTGATGCTTGTCCCTAACTGAAATGAAGCTGTTATCTGGACATTGCATTATAACTCTTTATATCAGTTATAGTTTCTGGAGCCAATTATATAATTTTAACCATACATTAATGTGAATTCTTTTGTGGTTTTCATATGACTTCCTTGGCTCCATGTTTATGCAGCAGTTTTGTTATCTATTTGTTTCCCACAGAAAATACATTATGGTTGTGTGTGTGTGTTTGTCTTGTTAGTCTCAGGCGAATCAAAAAATCAGGGGCTGTGGAAACAGTTCTCTAGACTCGTAAACAGCAAGGGACTCTCGCATTTTGTGAACATCTTTCCATTGCCCTGAATTGCCTACCCTCCTCCTCGTTCCATCCACTGTTACGGCATATGGAGAGAGGGACCCAACTGAGAACTTGCTTGGATGCGGTGTGCCCCCCAGCCTGTGCAAAGATGTACGAAGCATGCAGGGAGGCAAGAGTGGCAAAATCCAACTTTTAGCCTGAGGCAGCAGAATCGTTCCGTTGATCTTACCCATGTGCAGCCACTATCACTGTTCAGTCAGCTCTCTTTTTAGGATAATGGTAAGCTATTAAAAGCTTCATCTGCTCCACTTATGGCTTTCCCTCATCTGTGGCCCACATGGGTTTGTTTGAGACAGCAGCCAAGGAAGAATGTACAGAATGAACAGATGAAATTCTGATTGGAAATTCCTGATTACTAATTTGCGGATCTCCTGATAGCCCACCTAAAGTCACCCATCCTTGGGATGGAACAGGGAAACGATTCAGAGAAGGCTCATGAACAGGGAAAGAATAGAGGCATTCTGTCAGAGCAGCTGGTTGGTGTGCATTAAAACCTGAATTGGGAATTTGAATTTGGCATGCCACCCACTGCTTTCTAAAGAGCAATATTTCCTTTTATTGAGCAGTTGCTGTCATACAGGCAGTTGTCAGCTGTAGCAGCCTTAGATTCCTTCTGTTTTGGCTTAGGGAAATGTACCAGCCACGAAGTTATCAGCAGAATGTTCCACTGATTTATACCTAAATTGAATATTTGAAAATAAGATGGTTAACTGTAGATTTGCTTTGTTTTCTCATCAGACCTCCTGAGAAATTGTCTTCTAAATCAAGAAGTAGCCACTGTTATTGGGTAACAAATCCTCAAGGGTCCTAGAAGCATTTGGGGGCATTTTGGAGAAACTGATGGGCATAAGGGAGAGGGAGCGCTCACATGAAACTGCAATTTTTAGCAGCTGCCCCCTTAGACACGTGTGCTCTAAGTCCTGCTTCAGGTGCCCAGTGTCACAAGTCAGAAAATGGATCAGAAGATGGATTCAGGGAACATTACAGTTACAATTGCATCTGAGAGGGGTGTGAATGGAGAATGGCTTGGAAAAAAAAGGTGGACGAAAGTATTTCCTCCTCATAGCTCAGTCACTGTGCAAACTGCTATAAGCCAAGAAAAATAAATCGGCAGCAAGGAGGGAAACTCATCCTCAAAATTTAAACAGACTTCCATGTTTGCACCATTAGGCAAGGCAGTAGGGAGATGGGAATCTTGTCCGGTGGGCTTCTTGTTCCTCCTCCTTCCTACTGACGAAGACATAATGTTTTGGTCACATTTCTGCAACCTGAGGCCCTGCCTTGGTGCTGGACTACAGCTCTCATCATCCCTGCCAACATGAGCTATAGGCTCGCTGCTGACGATGATGGGACTTGTAGCCCGGTCCATCTGGAGGATGCTCAGTTGAGGTAAGGTAATTTACCTGGTCAGTCTTGCAAGTTACTCACATTTTCCATGGCATACCAAGACAGGAAAGCATAATGGGGCATGATTTGCATAAACATGGCTTTTGGTGCCCTTTGTATGAGTGGCAGCTGGATCTATCCTTCAACTACGCCTGACTTGCTCATACATTTTCAGAATTTCCAAAAACATTACTCACTGGGCAGACTGGCAATGTAATAAATAAATTATCCTTGTAAAGAGTCCTTAAGGATGAGGAATTCTTTTTAATTTTTTTAATGGAAGATGCCAAATTTTCTTTCAGACAAAAAGCAGCATAATTCCAGATAGGTTAGGGTTAGGGTTTTTCTGCTCTGACCCCCCCTTAGAGTTGGGGAAGCAGCCCTCCAAATCGCAGGGGGCACCAGCTACCAAAAGCTGTCCCCAGGCATGCTTGCCTGGTACCTGCTGCTCTCTTTCTGTAACCAGGCCACCTCTGCCTTGCTTGCCTGAGTGCCTGATGACTGTTAAGATCTTTGCTGTGACTGCTTTTATCTTTCAAGGCGGATTAGCTAGGCTCATGGAGGCTCAGGCTATCAGTGGCAACTAGTCCTAATGGCTATGTGCTGGCCGCAAAATTAGAGGGAAAAATACTAGGGGAGGGACTGTTGCTGTTCCACATCCCACAGACATCTGGTTAGCCCTGGAAGGACTAGATGGGGCTTTGGTCTGACCAAGTGGGGCTGTGTTCTCACTCCGTGTTTTCTTGTGTGTGTGTTCAGCTTCTTTTATTGATACTGTAAGGTGCCCTACTTGAAAGGGGAGGTATAAATTACCTTCTTTGATTTTATTTAATTTATGCAGTGACCAGCCAGAATCTTTTTATTTCCTCCAACTGCCTCCTCCACGTCCTTCTTCACCTTCTTGTGCACCTGTCCCTCACTAGCCACCTTCTGGGCACTGTCCTCTGTACATGCTGGCACATCTCAATTTTATCACCATGTGGGGGTTACTTGTATATAATCAGGACCATCCGCTGCTTGATCTGAAATGGAGCAGGAACTGCTTCTGCTTTACTGACTGGTTGCTGGACTAAAGAAAACATTTCTCGCCTGCCTCGGCCTCTCTGGAACCACTTTGTCACCAGCACAATGCAATTCTGCAGCTCCTTTACTTCAAGGAGCTAAGGAGTTTCAGTCTGTTCTTAAAACAGCAACAAATTTGTGCAGCCAGAAGAGACTGAATTTTGCTTCCTATGAATATTACGCAAATCTGTATTAGAATTCCTAATTTTTTACATAATTCCTCTTCTGCTAGTCATGGAAAAGCTGCAGGGAGCCTCTTCACCACATTACCAAAGAAATCCTATTTTGGCATCTCTCTAGCTACCATTTTTCTAGGCATTGACCCTGCCTTGTATTTAAGCATCGCCTGGGTGGTCCTAGGTGACAAGGAAGTGCAAGAAGGCAGGGAACTCCTTATTGATGTGCAAGCTGGCACCCAGCACAGAAAACGAGTAGTCTTCCCAGAGAGGAAAGCTGTTGCATCAAGATACAGTGGGCCACTGGAACCGGGTCAGAGTCCACCATTCCTCCTGTGCAAGCCTCCAACAGGCTGGGAAAATATGTTTGCCAATTGGTAAATTCTGCCTGTTTGTTCACTGGAGTGCATCGTACCATATACCTGCAAGAAAGTAGGGCAGGAAATTTGCCATTTTTCTTTTTCCTGCATGGAACCGAAACTCCCTTCTGCTGAGAGGTTTGTCTTGTTCCAGATACTGCTTATTGCTCCCTAATTATGAGCTCCTTAGCTGTCCGTGCATCTGATAGCTGATGTTATTTCTAGAGGGTTGTGTGTGTGCTACCCCTCTTTAGCTTTTGACAGTTTGTCCAGCTGAACAGTCTTACACAAGTGCAAGCAGTTATGTCACTAACTGTAAACACAGTCCTGGCCTGAGCCCTTGAAGGCCAGCAGTCCTGTTGTTTAAGCATTTCCTTTAATGCCAGCAGTAAGTTCTGGCTACAGTCCGCCATATTCTCTCAAAATGCCCTGTGGAAAATTGCAGTGCAGGGAGCCACCTCTGACAACAGGCTGCAGTTATCATGGCAGCAGTAACAAAGAAATAACTGTGATCCAAAATAGTTGTGGAGTCTTGCCAGAATATAGCCTTCACCAAATACAAAAAAAGGAAGATGGGTGGGAGCAAATATTTAGACATATGTTGTAGTTGCAAAATACAAGGAATGCTTTTCAGGGTAGAATCCATTGTTTATTAATGCGGTATAACAAAGGAAAAGAGCCCTCATAGCACTTGGGTATTTTTGAAGGTTTCTATCTTCATGGAAAGATTTCCAAGCCAACTAGCCTGCCAAGAGTCCCACACACATTGCTAAGAGCTGGGTGGGGCGTGTGCCTGGAAACCAAGTACTGTGCGGAATGGTTGAAAGAGCTGCATGTTTACCCTGAAAAAAGAGGAGAGTGGGGGAGGGGGACAGGAAGGATCATGATCTTCAGTATCAGAAGTGCTATCACACAAAAGAAGAGGCAGGCCAAAAGGCTACTCATTTGCATATCTGTTCTGGTTGCAGTAGATCCAGAAGGCTTGGGTTGCAGTACTCGGACGCGGTGGAAGATAGATCAGTAGCTTGCTGCAACCCAACCACTTCTGTCAAATCTAGGGAGCAGAAACAGAGTCTTTGAGATAAATCTCTGAAAGCCATGGGCTGTCATTATCATCCAAGCAATCAGCAGCTACTACTCAGCTGGCGCCCATTTCAACCAGAATGCTAACCCCCTGGGAGCCAATGGGAGTTACAGAATTACAGGGATATCTCTTTCCTTTTTCTCTTTCGCCATTAGACCCAAGCGAGTGGTAGGGTCCTAACCCTAACCCTATGATTAGCTCTGACCTGATAGCAGAGGATGCAGCTGACACTTTTCCAGTTTTTGCTGTGATACTGGCATCATTTTTAGTCCAATAGTAGAATTTACGGAATTCCGAGACCTAGATGATTGGCCTTGATCTGATAGCATTTGCATTTTTTAGAGACAGCGCCCTGACACACAAGCAGAATTTGGGCATGTAGGTGTGTCTGCGTTTCCTTCCTTTTAAACACAGATGTTAACCTGGTTTGCACAAGACTAACAACCAGGAGTATGGGTTGAATATGGTCTGTTACTGAATCATGAGTAGTTGTTATATGTGAACCCTGCACTATCATGAAGCCATGGTTTGTTGTTGGGTTGCAAACTCAGGATTGTTCATGGTGAGGAGCACATAGTGCCGGGTGACTTCTCTCATCACCTCACATCTGATACTGCCAGGGTGTCGAAGCTTTGTAATTGCTGTCTGAAGTTTAGAACATGTATGATTGGCTCCTTAGAACATAAACCTCTGTGCTTTCAGGATAAAAAGAACAAGCTGATCTCTCCGTTGCCACCTCTTATCTGATAAACCTAGATAATGGGCTTTAGATTTGCATTAGGCTTGTGCAAGCAGATTTCACTTTGCATATTTCTGGATTAAGGTTAGAATATGTATTTCAGGTTATTGGAACATGTGCTTCTACAAATGAAAATATGACACACAGCACATAAATGGATATACATAATATGATTCACCTGTAAGGTGAATTAATATGTTAAATAGGTGATACAGAATGGAATATTAACCTTTTAAATCTTAAGAGCTGTTCAAGTATAGCACTGTCAAATGTTCCACAAAACTGGTTTCTACAAAGGTGGAACTATCTTTAGCACAATCCGGTGGTGTCTGGGAAGGCAGAGGATTCTTTGGAGTCCCCATTCCCCTCCCCTCACAGCTAGCATGGTAGGCTTTAGAGTTGCCTTTGGCTACACTCCTATAGACACATAACTAGAAGTACATTTTATTGAACTACTTGCTGGGGCATTTGCATTGGATTGCACTGCCAGACAATTATCTCAGGTCCACTTCTACATTATATTTTAAATGTACACCAAAAATAGAAAATGTGAATGCCTTCATCAAAGAAATCCTTGTGTATCTCCCATGAGCACAGAATAAAGAGGTGATGCATTTATTCTATAGAATTTTGGTGCAATGGGTTACCTGGCTTACTGCCTATGTGCGTCCCTCTTGTCTGGGAAGCAGGCTTATCTCTTCTAGAACCCTTCACTATATTCTTTTGAGTAAACACATTGAAATAGATGACCCACTGCTTGTGATAAAAAGATGGTTGTAGCCAGAGGTATATTAGATCAAATTTGCTGATGGATGTGGACTTCCCCAGCCTCTCTTTTTCAAGCAGCACCTCCAGCCTCTAAAAATGTAACACAGTCATGAGATCCTGCTATATGGGATGTGGGGAGGAGACCCTCTGAAAAACCAAGCAGAGGGGGCCTTCCATTAGTGGACCGTCTCCTTTTCTGGCAGGAGGCAGATCCTGGATTCAGCCCAATGTCTTGGTTCATGCATCATTAAAAACCCACAGTTAGGAAACTGTTGTTGAGAAGATAAGTAGCAGCAGCAGTTTCTGCTGTGAGGAACAATCCAGGGTCATTCTGTTAAGAAATGGGTTCAAGCTCTAGCAGCCCAATTATAATAAGCAGCTCAGAGATGCCGTGCCCCTGGGTTGCCGCTGCAGTGTAAGGAGCCAGCACTCTTGCTTCCACTTGCTTCTGCTCCTCTAGCCAACGTGCCAATAAGGCGACAGCTATCACTGGCTACTAGTCCTGATGGTTATATGCTACCTCCACTAGCAGAGGCAGTACACCCATGCACACCAATTGCTGGGGAACATGGGCAGGAGAGTTCTGTAGCACTCATCCTCAGGATTCCCACAGATGTGTGAACAGACCGCTTGTCACGACGGAGTCTTGGCCTGGGCCGGCATGACTCTTCTTGTGTTCTTAAGCTACAGTGTGTTAAACATGGGTTTTTACATCATGCAAACCAGGTTTTGTTATGCAGCTAAACAAGGGGACATGCCATTCTGTTTATTTGTACATGTAGTGTCTGTATAGGTATATGCAGGGGGCATGGTGGCTGGGACTAGAGCTCTGGGAGCCATCATGAGGAGCAGAGGGAATACATGTACAGAGCTCATGAGTCGTGGAAAAGGGGAAGCTTTTCAGCAGCTTTGATGTGCCCACCAAAGGATTGAGGCACACACCCAACGCTTTGCCAGCATCTCGGTTTTCATCATTTAAATAGCATCTTTTCCGTACGCTGCTGGTCTTGTTGTGCAGTATGTCCCAGAGCTGCGCCCTCTTTACGTGCCAGTGGCATGAGAGACAGACAGTTGTACCATTTTGCTGTTGCTTTTTTTTTGGACTCAAAATATTCTCCCACTCTGTGTAAGCAGAGGCACCCATTTTATGCTGTACACAGCTGCAAAGGGGTGTAGCCATTCTGAATTCTTGCAGATGGCAGGGCATATTTCTGGATGTACAAACTCAGACAATTCGAGCAGGGAACCAGCTGAGCAAACATGCTCACTGCATTCAGTGCTCAACCTTGGGGAATGTGGAGGGATCAGCTTTTCCTGTGTTCACAGAAGTGGACCATGGAAAGCCCTGATTGGATGACTCCTGTGATGTCACTAGGGTACTGCCTTTCTCAGCCACTCATGGAACATTTTCTAAGCCTTGAAAAGCAGATGTTATTTTTTTTCCCCCAAGGAAGAAATGGGACCTTCAAGTGAACAAACATTCATGCTATCCTTTTAAAAGGGGGTTTGTGTGTGGGAGCAGGGAGCAGCCATTCTGAGGGAGGAAGGAGCAAGACAGGCACTGAACCCAAATTCTACATCTTTCAAATGGGTCACTGCAGAATTGAGCAGAACCCCAGCTATGGGGAGGCATGCTGCACATGCCTGGTTCCTTCAGCAACCTACAAATGCTGAATTTGTTTCTGTAATGTCTGAAGCCAAGAACTTAGGGTTGTTTATGTATTAAACACCTCCAAGTTTGTTTAACCCAAGAACAATCCCAAGTGCCCAGGATCGGAGTTCAGGGAGAGAGCCAATGAATATTCTGTATTTGTAGTCTGTTGCAGGAAACCAGAAGTGGTTTTCATGCAGCACTTGTCCCTGCAATGTAATTAATTTGGAGAGTAATTTAATTAACAAGCTGTCACTATTATATCCAAACATGGCCATAATGTGGCTTGTTCTCAATTTTTAATCCTGAGAGCCAGTCCTGCCTCGAGTGTTGGGCTGGGGCTTGGGACATCTGAGTTCCAGTGTCCATTCACTGCACAACTTTGGACCAGTCATGGACGCTCAGCCCAACTTACCTCACAAGCTTGTTATGAAGACAAAATGGAGAATAGAAGAAACTTATAGGCTGCTTTGGACTCCTTGGGGGAGAAAGGGAAGGGCATAGGTTTAATATAACAACTTCTGCTGCTATTCCATGACATAGTTGAGGAGCAAAATCATTTAGGAAGGGCTGGTAGGGAAGGGTGCCTGCTCTGTATGAATCCACTGATTAGTATTAGCTGTTGTGTTTGCCAGCAAAAGCGGCTGTCTAGAGAGACCTCCAGAAGAAAGGACTTGACCATGCCTGTTTCTCTCACCAGGTCATTATTGAAAGATACAAGGGAGAGAAGCAACTGCCTGTGCTGGATAAGACCAAATTTCTAGTCCCTGACCATGTCAATATGAGTGAATTGGTAAAAATAATCCGGTAAGTGACATTCTCCAAGCAGCTGCCGGAGGTACGCTCCTGGTGGGATACTGGACAGCATCGTCCAAGTGCCTTGAACTTGCTTCTTGCTGAGCAGCCTTCCCCACCTGGGTGCCCTCTGGAGGTGTTCTATTACAATCCCCATCATTCCCAGCCAGGATGGTCATTGGCTGTACTGACTGGGAAGGATGGGAGTTGCAGACCAACACCTCTGGAGGGCTCCTGGGTGGAGAAGGCAGCTGTTGACCATCAGAGGTGCCCAGAATCTGTGGTGCCCTGGGGGCAGGCTTCCTCTTTTCCCATTACAGCGAATTCTCATGACCACGTAGCAGGACAGACATGGGGCCTGTGTTGGCTCTGCTGTACAGGCAGCCAGACAGCTGCCTTGGATATCTGCCCTGCCAGCTGCTCTTTCCATCATGACCAGTCCCCTGTGGAAGCTGAGATGTGCCCTGGGATTCACTCTGCCCTCCGGGTTCTGCACACTGCCCAGCTAATGCAGCCTCCAGAGGCACAGCTGAGCCAGCCCTGACCGGTTCACGGGAGCAGTGCTACAGGGGCGATCACAGGGTCTTGCGAGGAAAGCACGGTGCCTCTTTCAGGAAGTCACGTGGTCCTGGGGATTGTCCTACAACTGAAGAAAATAACAATATACCTCTCGTCTGCCTTCTGAGGAGCACATTTGCTCCCATTTTGCTTGTGCAAATATTTTGGACTGTAAGCTCTTTGGGTGTGGAGACGCACGTGGCCTAGGCCTCTGCAATACAGTATGGCTCAAAGCAACTCAATGGCCGGAACTGGGCTAGTACCCGAGGTGGTAATGGGATGTTTAATGAAAATGGCAGAGAACTGTCTTATTAGGAGATGTTGTTGCTCAAGATGCTCCTGGCCAGGTCTACTGTGCAGATGCACGGTGCAGTCCTGAGGAAGCAGCTGAGGTAAGGGTCCCAGCACGAGTTTCCGTAATGCAGTGGCTGGCTGAGCTGAGTGCGGAACAGGCAGCAAGTATTCAGCCCTGTATCCACCACCGCCAGGCCCGCCAGCCCTCCCAGTGCAGACCAGGTGCTGCCAGAGCCTGCTCTTTGAGCCAGCGGCGCGTGTCGGCTGGGCTCCTTTCGTAACACTGCTGAAATAACGGCCTTTGTGTCTCTGCCAGGCGCCGGCTGCAGCTAAATCCAACCCAGGCCTTCTTCCTGTTGGTGAACCAGCACAGCATGGTGAGCGTTTCCACCCCCATCTCTGAGATCTATGAGCAAGAGAAGGATGAAGATGGCTTCCTCTACATGGTCTATGCCTCACAGGAGACCTTTGGCTACTGAGCATATATCACCACCAGAAGACTGATTCCAGACTGTCGCATCAACATCCCTGCCTCCCTACCACTCCCCACCTTGGCAAACCAGTGCAGAAGAGGGGTTTGTGGCCCAGGAACAGCTCAGTAGCAGGCTGTGCTCCTCCAACTTTGCAGTGCAACAGACCAAGATGTGTGTGTGTGTGTGTGTGTGTGTGAGAGAGAGAGAGAGTGTGTGACTGAGTGTGTGAGACCCATGAGTTCCTATTTTTTCCTTGCCATTGTCTCTGCCTCTTCTGTGCGGCACTCTTTGCTCCCTCCTGCCTCCTGTGCTCTGTCTCTTTCTCTCTCTCGTCATTGTGTTCTTAGTAAAATGCCAAAATAGTGGAGGTGGTGGCAAGCAGAGGAAGAAAGGAAACGGTTTCCTTGCCTGCTGGGGCAAGAGCTGGGCTTATCCACTGATCTTCTGTTTAAGGGACAGGAAGTCTGATGACAAAAACAAAACAGTAAATATCATTGCTTTTGCATTTTTCATTGATTTTAATTACTTGCATATCAATTCTTGGTGCTACAGAGTAGATGTAGGCATCTTCTACAGGACTGTGTATAATGTATTATCTTTTAGATTTATTTTGTTATTTTTAAGCACAATGGGGGATATAATTTGCTTGTATTATGTAGGTTTAAAAAACAAACCCAAGCTTCTTTGCACTTTAAAATGTAGTAGAGGTGAGAATGAGAATGGAATTAGCTTAGATTTCACAGAAGTGTTGTACCCTGTGTTGCTTCTTTGTCAAAATTTGTACTACTTTTTTTAAGCCAGCCTCTCTTCCTTTCTTGCATGCATGATTTTTTCCCTTTTAAATTTTAGTCCCATTGTGACAAACAGACCATTCACTCAAGGAATGTACTGATTTATATCACTACTTTTTCTTTTCCTTTTTTTAAATTTATGATACCAAAAAGTGTGTATGACAAGGAAAAAAAATCCACCCAGTCAAATCTATACAAATAATCTATATAAATAAAAATAAATTAAACTTGTCTTGTTATAAGCACAGTAAATCCCTCACTCCCAATATTCTGGTAATCTGTATGTGTCCGATGCCCAGGAGATGTTCTTGAAAGACGCAGTGTTATGCCAGGTTTTGTTAACACTGTTATATTGCCTGAAGTAGGATAGGAAACCTGTTCAGCGCCCTGGCTGATACTGGCTGCATGCAGATGGAGCTGTGAACAGATACTGATTTTTCTCTATCCCCACATCTGTGCTTCATTCTGGCTGTTCACTTTGAGGGTGATGTTTTCAGCACCCCGTGTATGTTTCTGATGAAGCATTTATACAGTGGTTTTAAAAAATGTCAGTCACTCCAGTGGTGCAATGTGAACTGCAGGAGGGTCAATCGAGTGGTAATTTGCACAACCATATGCTAAAGAAGTTAATGATATTGGACTTGAAACAAGGGTGGGCCATCAGTAAGGTGCAAATTCAGCCTCTGCTCCAAAGCAGAACAAATTTCCCCTATGCTCAAGTGAGGGGCATGGGGTACATACACTCAAAGTGTTTTCAACTGTGGGCTTATCATTACCGTGATGTATGCCTTTATGCACCCAGAATTTTCTTAGCCCAGAAAATAATGATGCTGTGGCTGGGTTCATCCTGCAGAAGACAATGTGGATACTTTTTCATCCTGATCCTGTGTTTACTCAAATGGGGATCCCATGGTTTTAATTCAGATTTACTTTTATTTTGTGATTATGATGACTCTTCTACTAAAGTCATGCCAGGTTTTCAAGGCACTAAACCTCTCAATCTTTTGCAGCACAAAACTTCCAGGTCAGAATTTTCTTGGCTGTTTAGAACTGAAAATCATTGTTGGGCCGAGACTTTGCTTCCAGTCAACTCCTTCTGCAGCACTGTGCTCCATAATATATGATCAGTGCTGCTTAGTCCATGGATACAGTGCTGCATGCTAAAATAGCGCAATAATGCAGGGTTGCAGGGAGCGACGTTGGCAGAACACAACAGAACAGTGAACTGGATTGACTAAAACTGTTTTTTGTTTTGTTTTATAAACCAGTGTTAGCTCAGCCCTGGCCCTCTCTTCCTGTCTCAGAAGAAAATCAAAATCCTAGAAATCTGAAACATTCTATGTTTTGTCCCTGGCCAGAGTAAGCCGCAAACAAGGCTGCAATACTTATTTAAATAACGAATCTTCCCACGCAGCCAGCTGAACACCAAAGAAAATGAATGGTATCACTTGGTTGATTTAACTGCACTCATAGTAAGTCACAGCCTTTTGTGATGCCTTCTTAGAAAGAAGGGCTAAGGGCTCTCCAGATGCTTTTAGTATATCACCCATCAGTCCCAGCCAACATGGCTGATGGTTAGGAATGATGGGGGTTGTGGTTGAAAACTTCCGGCAAGTCCTACTTTGGGGAAGGCCGCCTTAAAGGATTACTTAGCACCACTATCCCGGCCCCACTGTCAAGGTCATTGCAGCCTCATCCCTGCTCTGCTAAACTGCAGACCCACAGAAATGCTGCATGGCCTTTTGCATTAGGCTTCCTATCCTTGTATAGCTATCCTGGGCACCCACGTGATTGATAAAGGAGACAAAAAAATCAAACGCACAGCATGAGCACACGCATACATAACATTGTCTGCTTAGAGGTATAGTAAGAGCAGAGTCATATGCAACTTTCAACAGAAAAAATTAAAGAAACTCAGTGTGGTACAGCCAGCTGTGCTGGAAGTTGTTGGCCTCTTTTCTGTGCACAACGGCAGAGATTTGCACCTTAACTGAAAATTCTGTGATGTTTAAATATTGCTGATTAGAGGCAAGTATGTGAGAGCTGTGCACACAGATGGCTCCAGCATCCTACAGACATTTCTTAATGGCAACAAAAAATTGTAATGGAAACACATGGACAGTGGAAAGAGGAGAATGCCTTTATTGTACTGCACAGAGCTGTTCCTAAAACACTAGAAACAACTCCAGATAGGAAACAGTGGGCTTTCCACATTTCTTACACAAAGGTTTCAAGAGAATACCACGGTGAAAGCTTTAGGAGGTTGGGGAATTGAAATCTGAACATCACTCTTTAATGCTGTGTACCTTAGTCAATGTTCCACATTTCATTGGGAGTTATTTCAGTAGCAATCAGTTACACAGCCATAACTTGTTCATCACAGGTAGGTTGGAAGGTACAATCTTCAGCTATTTTGAACTGGGACAATCTTGCCGACATTTCTTTCTGTGACCTTTCAGGATGTCTAGAAACTAACACAAAATGCTATCACAACAGTCAGCCACCATTGATTATATCATCCCTTTTGTTCATGGGCAAAGAAACCACACAAGACAGAGAACAAGAGTTTTTGCTGTTCTGCACAGGTGACAGCAAACCCAGCCAGGATGGCAAAGGGGATCGCTCACTTTGTGGTCCCTTGAAGTGGCAGCAGCACATTCATTGTTTAATGCTGTGTCAAGCACTGGTTCTGTGAACAATGCAAGCTGCCAACATAATTTACTCATGAGAGATATCCTCCTAGGTCTCTCATTCATATCCACCCTTTCTGAAGCTTAAAGATCTTGCTGTTGGGACTCAGGAAGTTCATAAGCAACCAAGTCCATACACAGCATTGCATCTTAATTATTAATTCCATTTATATAGCTGCCATTAGCCAAAGCTGCATGAGTGGTTTGTGAAGCAAGGCTGTGTGTGAATGTGCAAACCTGAAAGTACAGGACTCTGACAACAGCAAATCAACAGCAGAAGGGAAGAGCTGTGACTCAGCCATACAGCACCTGCTTTCCATGCAGATACTCCCCAGTTCAATGACCCCGGCACATCCAGGTAGGACTAGAAGCACGTGAGAGGCACTGCCAGTCTGTGTCAACACTACTGGGTTAGCAGGCTCAGCTTAAGAGCTGCTGACGCTGCTAACAATTACTGCTGCTTGAAGGAATAAGATGTGTAGTGAAACCTGAATGTCCAGTGAAACATTGGCTGTTCAAGTGAAAGCTAAAACTGAAAAGTAAAATGAAGCCAGGCCCCACGATCTAAATTAGACAGGACTGCATATTTATACATTTGAATGTTTCATACCACTTCTGCATGACTTGTGCAGTGGCAATCAGCCAAGCAGAGCCCTGGCCCCGAGAATCCTACTAGCCTTTTTTACAGTTCGCTTGTCATTGCACTCATACTTTGAAACTTAGAGTTACTATCGTAAAAGCAAAGGCCCTGCTCATAAAACACAAACAGCGCGAGTCAGAAGGGGCCTCCCGAGCCATCTAGTTGGACCCCCGGCTCCAGCCGGCTCTGCTCACAACATGCTCGCCATGTGCATGTCCAGCCTATCTGAACACCCTCACCGATGGGGCCTCAACGACCTCTTGTGGAAGCCCATTCCACACCCTCAGGGTCCTAACTGTCAGGAAGTGCTTCAAAACACAAAGCCTAAAATTTCTCTCCCTTCTTTTAACATTAAGACTAAATTCTGTGCCAAATAAAAAATGCAGTGGCCTATATTTACCTAAGCAGACTCAAGAAATGCTCACAGCCACGAGTGAGACAAAACTGCCCAGAGCAAAGGTTACAGGTGGCCCTGAACAATGCCAAGTGCTTCTGGATGGAAGTGTTGTGCCGCTCTTCTCTTTCTCCTTAACAGATTTTCTGTGGTTAAAGCAAGCCGGAAGCAGTGGTAGGAAGACATGGGAAAGTCGAGTGTGGACACCTCCCTCCCAAATCCATGCATAAGGCAGGGCAATTGCTTCAGGGAGCCTTGACTGGAAGCACCTTTAACTACCACTGAAATGATGAGAAAAATGGAAATGTACTAGCACTGCAGGGGAACTGTGCCAGTATTTCAAGGAGGGCCTACAAACGTACCAGCTCCCACTTTTCTGTGCTGCTATGCCTTCCACACTGCAAAAATAGCGCTGGTCCACTTTAATCCTATATTAACAAACAGAAGCCACTTTACTATGGCTGCTTTTGACACAGATTTATTAAGGGCTTGTGCCTTTCTTTCCTCTCAGCTTGGCAGCCTTTGGGGAGATCCTGTCCTTGCTATATTAGAAGAAGCCTTTTCCTCCTAAGAGTTATTCCAATCTTCATATACATTTTGCCCTCCCACTGAAGGGTTGTCAGGAGGAAGAAACTTCACCTATCACAGAAGCAAGATCACAGGTGGCACCATTCTTCTGAACATATGATTCCAGGCTAATTTGGAAAGTATATTAAATTGATTATAGGAATCTGCCCTGCCCCACCTTCCAAACTATGTTGTGGGAAAGACTGGAGTTTCTTGGAAGCTCATCATTGAGAAAATTCCTCTGAAAAAGATTGGCAATGACAAATACACTTCCCTGAAAGAAATGTACCCCATCACTGGTCCATCTTCCTTTGTAGGGGAGTGTTGGCTATGATATGGGCTGACATCCAGCAGGCCTAGCCACATAATGTAGGAATGTAGCTCTAGAGCAGGGGTCTCAAACTCGCGGCCCGCGGGCCAATTGTCAGGACGGGCAGGGCACAGGAGAGGGGCCCTGTGGCCTTCAAAGCGCCGGCGGTGCCCGGGTCGGCCATGGGATGAGCAGCCCACCACCCCCGCGGTGATGCAATACTAGATGCGGCCCAGCCTCACCCAGACTCTACTTCCAGCAGCCCCCAGGTGAGTTTGAGACCCCTGCTCTAGAACATCTAAACCATGTTCTGTGCACTGTGCTTCCATCCCAGCTTGTGGGGTTGACTGGCCACAACTCATGAAAATCTCTTAACCCTTTTTTTCCCCCAGTTTTGCATTTACATATGCATTTTCTTAGGATAGCGGAGCAAGTGATTGGCATGCATTCCCCACTCCAAAATGGCCACCACAGCTAGGCACTCTCGATTGGGAAAGGATAAATGAAGCTTCTGTTATCCTACACATGGATGCTCTTCAGTCACAAGGAAAGTAAAATGGTTGATGCCATGGCAACCATTCAGTGCCTGGATGCAGCAGCTCCAGGGCTTTTGCATGCCAGCTCAGATTAGGATTTTAAGAGGATGAAAATGAGAGGGTTGGGGGGTGGGGAACATGAGAATCAGGACACAGCTGAGCTAAGGCAGAGAAGAGATTATGTTACATTAATTACATTTTGCTAAAAGGTTTTATAGCACTTTGGTGTAGCAACTTTCAGCTAACCAGGACACACACACAATCCGCACATCCAGTGTCAGCCTCCAATTATTTCTATATCCTGTCAATGCACAGGCACCCCTGGGCCAGTCTCGTTTATCTCCCTCCCCCCACGTTCAAGCCATAAGAAGCAGAATAACGTTCCTAGTGCAGTGAACAGTTGAGGGAGAAGTGGACGTGTTATGTGCAGCATGTTAACCCCCCAACACACACACTTTTTCCAGCTTACAAAGAGAACAAAGAGCAGTGCACCACAAGGGAAAAAGTGGACCTGTTGAGAAGGGAATGAATTGTATTTCTCAACCAGGATAATGCTGCTGTTAACAAACCAGTTGCTCTTCTGTTGCAAGAATGAGCTCAGGCTTCAGATGTGGCAACCATTTTGCAAGCCAAACACCGTCAGGTAATGTGAAGGCTCAGTTCAGGTTTTGACAAATAAGGGATGTGTTGGAGTTATGATGCTCTCAAATGAAGGAAATCCATCGATTTGGTTGGACTACAATGTCCTGGCCAATCCTTTACCATAAACTCAAATTTACATCTTTACAGTCGGGCAGAACCAGGCATGACAACAAAGCTGCAATTCAAACTGCCACACCTAAATAGCTAGAGCTACTCAATGTATCCTCTCATAGCATACTGCAAATTTCCCCATCCTAGCTCAATTTTATTAGCATCATCTATGGCAATAGGGAAACTCGTACCATAACAGTGTTAATACCACATCTGCCAAGCACTCCTATCATTTATCTAGCTATCATCATGTTCACCAGGCTGGGCAACCTGTGACTGCAGCTGAATATTTTAAATGACTAATGGGTTTGGCATAGACTGTGGCAAATCTTGGGTTAATTAACCCACAACTTGCCACCATTGCATGTCAGTCAGGCCACTGTCTCTGAACCATGGGTAGAACCACCTTCCACAAAGCCAGGCATTTTCATGCTGTCTAACTTACTGCTGCCAAGGTGTTGATCTTAGGGAAGAGTAAATTTCAGGGCCACTATTTTCTGGATCAAGCCTCAAGGTGATACAAAGGAAACCCTTTGACGCAAAGAAAGGTGCATAGCAAAAGCTGAGAGTTAGCATATACTTCACAGCACTGCCACAATAGTGTCTTGAAAGCCAACAGTTCCCAACATGCATAGCACAAGGAACAGGAGTGCAAAACTGAAGGTCTGTGTGGAGAGCAACTGTAAGGAAGCACTAGCTTCTTCAGCGTAGCATTTCCAAGTTTCTTGGTATATGAGGTGTGACTGAACCTGCAGTTGCTTTAACTCTTTTAAATTAAAGGTTCATGATCCCAGAATGTCCTTGTTCTTTGAAAGTAAAGTTCACTGCATTGCATGTGCTGCCTTGGGGAATGAACAAAAGAATTCCTCTGGCTCTATAGCATTTTGCATTTACACTACCCTTTGTTTGGTTGGAAGCACTCATATCTGAACCTCCCCAGCAGTCCACCATTGCCTCTATTAGTACAGGTAAGCACAGAAAAAGCACTTCTGTTTGCCCACCATCCTGCCTTCTCCCCAGCTGCCCTTTCCACTGCTGTCTTCAAGGCTTCCCTTCAAGCCTTCCTCTCCGCAACCCTCCCTCACTCTGGTGTTGCCTCTCAGCTGCATCCTTCTGCTTTCCCTTCTCATTTTTCTGCCCCAATCCTGTGATTTGCCTAGGCAGGCTTAATTCAACCTCTGTCAGCCATAGCTATGGTTTACTGGATTGGTCTGCAAGTAGATGGCATTTCAGCATGTCACTGCTTCCATCATAGCTGACCCGGCTATGATTCATTGCTGTCAGGGAGGGGCCAGTTCAAGCTGATACGTCCCCATAGTTTCCCACAACGTCACCTATCTCTATAATCTTTACATTGATCCCTGCATGGCAGGCCATTTTTATTATTAACCCTGTATTTTTCTATTTTGATGATGATGGTTTATTCATTTATTTTCTATACCACCCATAACTGAAGCTCTCTGGGAAGTTTACAACAAAGATGCCCACTAGTTTAAAAAATGTACTAGGCACACTATGTAATACATTGGCCTTATCTTCTTCATGCTGTCCTAAGAGTGTTGGTGTTAAAACTGACAATGAAGGGCTTATGGCAATTCTGTTAAATAGACCACTGCTCTCATAGACTACAATAAATTGAATATGACAGAGAAGAGTCCTAGAATAAGTGAGCTAAACCAGAGACTACAAATAACCTAACATTACAGTAGATGCACTCTCTCTCTCTCGTGCACACACACACACGTGTGTCATATGCAGATTATTTTATATGCAGAGTATTTTATGAACACTTACACCAGTCTCTTTCCCCAGCTATAATCTTGTTGCTGCAGCTTGTTGACTCTGGCAATGGCACTTTTCCTTTTGGGAAGAAGGCTCTGCTAGTGAAGCATCAATCTGACAGACCTGAGCTGCAAAACTTGTCTTTAAATGACTGATTAAAATAGCAACCTTGAAACCTCAGATTTTCTCTAAATCAGTAAAGGGCTTGTACATTGCCATATCTTTGCATTTTTACATGAATTGTCAGCAGGGTACAAGTGCAAATATGGAGACCTGCTGAGCAGTGAAATACTTTAAACTGCTATTGCTCAGTCATTTCATCTTCAGAATTGTTTGGACCCTGGTTAAATTATGCCCCTTCACAAGATCAGTTCTCTTGGGGAGAAAACTATACAACATTTAATGGCAAGACAGAGTGTCTTGCTTTTATGACAAAATCTTCTATCATTAGGTAGACTTTCATACTTTCTAATGAGAGTGTTCAAAAAGCCAAACACTTGAAACTAAAGAAACATTGTTCACACAAATCAGCATGTGTACAATAAATGACCACGTATCACATCAGGACCGTATACTTGGTAAGGGAGGAGTGACACACCTGTCTGCAATTTGCCCCCAAATTGTGAGAGGCCACTCCTAACAGAGAGCACAGTGAATGCATGATAAGTTGGACCTTGCTGCCATGATTCCAGTTCTTTTCTACACATGTTGTTGTTGTCTGAACAAAGCTAGAGTTATGCTCTCCAAAGTACATTGCTCCTCCAACGGACATTTTGACCAAGAAGAAGCCTCCTTCCAGCAGCTTTCAGACTCCAGTTTTGAGTGCGGCATTCTCAGTAAAATCCCTTAAATTAAGCATTGATGCTGCTGGAGGCCTTGACAAAGTAAATGCCACCCAGTTGTGTGTCTTCTGGACAAATAACTATTTGTAGATCAATAAGCAAGATTTTTTTCCTTTATTTTTAAATCCCCTTTTGAAAGATTGCTTAATAAGAAATGCATTTATAACAGAAAGGAGTTTATGTCCTGCCAAGCAGCTTTGCAAAAAAAATAACAGTGAATGGCAGAGGACACACTTAATACAAAATCAGCAAGTTGAAATCTAATCTCTTTTGCCCCCAGTTAAAAGGGTAGAGTGCTTGGAACCGGGTCTCTTTTGCGCTTTGGGAGCTTGGATGGGTGCCACCTGACTCCTTGGTAAGGAAACCACATCATCCGTAAAGTAAAAGTCAGAGGAAGAAACCAGCTGTAGTTCTGTTGGATTAGAAGAGTTAAAAATAGCAGCCATCAGCAAACAAAAATATCGGTATCTTGGTTACTGAATGGGAAGATCTGACTGAATACTCAGTACTGAAGCAGGTTGGATGGGACAGCCATTTTTGCACAGACACTTTTCTAATACAGTCATATTCTACTGCTTCTCCCACTGAAGATTAACACTTTAGGTAAAATTTAAACTGTTCTAAGAACTGTAAGGTCCAAACTTTCTATGAAAAAGGTGCTCCCATTTGGAGAAAGGCTCCAATTTTTGTATTTTCTGGCCTTTGTCACAAAATCCAAGCAGTCTGGGAACACTAGGATCCAAAATTAAAGGATGGGTAAAATTAGAGCTGAGCTGATTGTGTGCCCCTCATCACCAAGTTTCATATATATCTCCTCTGAGTCCTCTAGGTTATGTTCATTTTCATTTCTCTTCACTAAACCACACAGAAAAGGGCACAGTTACACTTCCACAGGGATGGGCATTCTCTCCCCTTAAAGACAGTTTGATTGAACATACAACTGCTCCCAATGGTCCTCTACCATGTGTATCTAAGGATGCAGAATTTAACTTCTCATGTCTCCCAAGCTTGTTTGCTTAGCAGCTTCTCCCTGAATTATCATGCTGAATTCAGCATTCTCTAGAGCGCAGAAATATTCAGAATAATCAGGGGCCTCCCAGTTTCCAGCATCAGTGCAAGGAGAAATAATGTCCAGGTAAGTAAGACTAGCTGTCCATGTTTCAAGGATCCCCTGTACATCAGGCAGGTGAACTGTCCATTCAAGCAGTGGAAGCAGGAAGCCAGAGGAACCAAGTAAATGTTTAGTGAAGCAATTTAACTTCTGAAAGAGAAAATTCCCAGCAGTTTTCCCTGCAGTTACCACCATCATTATTATCATCAACAGCCTTCTCTCTCTCTGGGAACAAAAGTTCATGCTGGTTTCAGTCCAAAGGCATTTCACCAAGTCCGGAAGTTATCAGCTGGAACTGATGACTGGGCTTCTGAGCAACAGGATGGTTGGAGGGAGAAGCTTCAAGTGGGGCAGCAACAGGTCACAAAAGTAGACTCCTCGACCTGCTAACATGCTCTTTGCACCAATCTCTGCACCAGCATTAATCGGGCTATTCCCAGTCAAACTGCAGCCCTTTCTCCATATGCAAAAAGGCATCTTCCCCAAAACCAGACCCACCCACCCACCAATCGTCTGTTTCTCACAGATGTCTCTTCCCCGAGTGATGCCAAATACCAGTTTCATTTGAGAACCAGCATGGGATCTGTCCTGTCTTTTCTTATTAATTGGATTCCATGAGTAAGGTAGTATTCCCTCTGCAGAAAGGCATAGAAATAATCTGAGATGAGCAAGATCTGCAGGAGAGAGAGGGGAAAGAAGAACAAAAACAAACTGGAGTGACACCATTGCCATTAAAACTAAACAGCTCAAGAATTATTATTTACACATACAGCACTAACATATGATAAGGAATTATCAAACACAAAGAGTTTTTACCAAACTGTTATAACCATTAACTAATCCAGGAATCAGTGAGAGGTTTTAAGACGTGAACAACATCATCATGAACAAGGTATGATAAACTAAGAATTCTTCTAGAATGGCCATGTTGAATGGCCAGAAGCAGGCCAAAAGAATTTGTATTTCCTGTTTTTATCCAGAAAAGCTCAATCTCCACAAATCCCAGCATAAAGTATTTATATAAGAAATACTGGATGAACCTCTTAGAAACATGTAGCCATGTGCAGGATAGAAATCAATCAAACAAACAAATAAATCTAGCAACATTTACTTGATAGTAGGCCCCATTGTGATCAATGAAGCATAATCTTCCTACATGTCCATAGGAATTCAGCCTTCCTCACTAACATTGTGACATGAGCTTCCACAGGAAAGTGCCTGATTCCCACCAAGAGGGGGAAGCTAACCCCTTCAGACCTTGGGCACATCTGGCAATTTGATAAACATTTCTGGGCATCATGACAGAATCACTTCTCTGGGAGGCAGGGCAGCAAACTAGTAGCTTGCTGAAAAAGGGCCATATTCAAGGCAGAGGTGGGGTTTGGGCCCCAACACATTAAAAAATCCCACTGAATTGACATGATTCCACACCAACAGAAGCCTATTTCACAGCAAAAATAGCTGCTAGTAAAAAGAAAAGTAGGCTGGGTAGGGCATATTGCTGCGCACCAAGAAGGGACCACTGGTGCCCACAGACATCACATAGTCTAGAGCTAGAACTAGCACAGTGGGTAACAGATGACTCAGTTCTTGATCAGGAAGTCCCAAGTTCAAATCTTATTCCTGCCACAAACTCACCAGGTCTTCCCCATCCATCAATCTGCAATAAGGGAATATAATACTGATTGATATTACAGGCCGAGCCAGTTCTGGTTTTATCCCTCCACACACCCCAAGCTTGTTCCTGGTGGATCCCTTCTAACATCAGCATACTTTTCCCATACTTCCTGGTGGTATTTGTGGGTCCTAAGTACCAGTGTAGAATTGTTGACAATGTATAACAGCAGGGACTTACATCTACAGGGTAAGAATGCACCCAAAGTGGGAGCAGCTATCAGTGCTGGGCTGCTACAGTACCAGCACCTGCTTGAACATGCCATGTGCTGATACTGGGCCTGATGATAGGGCTGTTGAGGACTACTGAGACATAAAATGTTCCGAACCCTCTAAACTGCTATATGCTTGCTATTATTATCAAATGAATAGAGTGAATGAAGGTGATGGTGGTTATAAGACCTTTCTCCCTGCCTGTATTCTGCATGTGAAGGATTCTTCATGGTGGACTTTCAAATGAATGGATAGTCTTCCAAAAACTGTAAGACATGATTTGGATGAAAAAACACTGTGTCCTCCGTAAAATAGCACCACCCTGGAACAAGGCTCAGTGCATTGCTTCTGAGGGTCTCCTTGCCTTGCCACAGAGAGTATGGCTCACTTTTGTAGAAGGCAGAGCCAAAAGACTTTTGTCATATCCCATGGTGACTAAATTGAAAATGGATTTCAGAGTAAGATTGGGTTTACATAGTGTTGCTTCTCATGTCAGTTTTGCTGTTACCTTTCTGAAAAAGCATGCCTTTCTGCATACTCTCTATGATCCCTGGGTGAGTGGGGTGGAAATAAAGCAAGGGGAACATCAAGGCGGGCCACAATGACAGGAGCTGGAAGAAAGGCCATGCTCACATGTCACATGGAAATGGAGACAGAAGCTAATGTGAAACCCTGAACCGAGCCTTTCTCTCCTGCTGGAGGGGTCCCTGCATTCCCACTGTCCTCTGTTCTGAGGCAAAGAGGCTTTTTAGCTCCTTAGGAAGGTGAATTACTTCAGAAGCACCATGAACAGGCATTCGATCATTCCTGAATGCCTCTTCATTTTCTTTTTAGAGCTCAGTGACACAGCATTTTGACAAAAATCAAAATGTGTTCAATGGGGAATAAAATGGCTGTAAAATCTCATTTTGTGAGGCTGCAGGGCCCAACATAGACCTTATGTATATCCAGATAACATATTCTACTATGAAATATATGGCAATCATTTTTCTCTCAGCTCTTGTTCATCATCATTCTTTGCCACTGTTAGCAGCTAGAGAGAATACTCAGCAAAAGATTCTTAAAGGCTGAACAGAACCCACATTTATTTGCCGACAGAATATCAGCATCTTACATTTCTCCAAAGGAGCAACCCATGTTTTAATGGCTCCTAGTGCACTACAATGAATCTTTAGAATTTTGCACTGACCCTGTCCTTCCTATAATTAATATCAATAAACCCAACACACATATCATACATATACACGAAGGAGACCAAACTAAATTACTAACTTACACAAGTACAGATCAGTGGACCTAAAAATGAACCATTGTTAAGACAAAACATTTTGGAAAATTGACGCAAACCTCAAATAAGATTTGTTCCTTTCATCTTCCAACTCTCAAGATGTCACAAGCCCAAACTGACTACAGTGGCTATGTTGGAGGGAATAATTTCACCTCTCTCCAGAAAAGGAAAAACAGCTTTACTTCCCAGTAATACTTCAGATTTCACTCTTAAAGTCACTTTCCTTGATGATCCCCTCTGTTCCATGTGCCGGTACATTCTATTTGCTTTGCTCAGTTCAAAGGATGAAGAGGAGGTGCACATATTTTTAATTTGCAGTAGGTTAACCCAAATTCCATTTCACCTCAGCTGGTGAGAACTGCAAGCTTATTCTCACTCACTTGGGAGTAAATCCATGAAATTCTGTGGAAATTGCCTTTAAGTAGACATGCATAAAATTGCACTATAATATTTACAAACAGGGTAGGCAAGGGGACAATGAATCAGTTATAATGTAAATGGTATACTGTCCACTCATCTAACCTATCCATTTTACCCCTTGCCTTATCATTGTCTTCTGTTTAAAAGGATGCCACTCACTTCTTCCTTTATCTAGTGCTTACATATTTGGCTTCTAACGTTCCAGGTGATTCTTTATGCCTATGTCTGATTTATCTTTAATTCTTGATGCAGTGGAAAGTAGGGTTAGGTTGGATATGGGAAACCCTGGTTTTTGCATGGACTCAATCCAGAATTATTTCAACTTGTGAAAAAATGTGGGGAAGAGTGAAAGAGAATGAGAACTCTTGGTCTTCTTTCCTTTGTCGCCTCTTACTCCTTTTATGCACCAGCTATTAGGTTATAAATAACTGTGGCAGAGGTCACTCCATTTTGATTCTTTATGCAGTGTTTAATAGAATTTTGAGAACTAAATAAACCCAGTTTGCAGCCATTTCACACTGTAGCAGTATTGCATGTTTCTCATGATTGCACTCAAAAGATCAAGAGGAGATGTGTATTCCCAAACACTTAGGTACAAACTGTGATTATACACCAGAGAACTAAAGCAAATATCAGTCAAAGAATGCCATATAAAAACCTGAGATGACTCTGAATGGAAATTTCTCACATCAACACCCCACAACTCCCTATGGACATTGTGAGGTCTGTACCACTCAGATCACAGAGGCTTGCTCAACAGAATATTCCTTCATACCAAAAAAGTATCAGACAATCAGCACAGACAATAAGTACACAGACAATCAGCATGATGGGGAAAAGTAATCTCCTATGCAATAAGGATATCATTTTCATAAGAGAACTTTATATAAACCCTCATCTGCATTCTAAGAGGTGCAGAGAAGATAGAAGAGAACCAGGTTGCTACTGGCTTCATAGACAGTAGGCTTTCTATAATTGTCATATACTACTTGAATCAAGGGCCTGACCTAAGGTGATGTCACAAACCAATCAGACCCGTATATACAAGATGCTGCATGTTCTGACTGAAAAAAATCCCCTCTAAATCTAGAGATTCTGCACTGAGAATGGATGTGAAATTACAGAAGTGAATGATCTTTTTGGCATTAGTTTTCACTGATCAAACTATGTTGCCACAAGCAACTCTACGGAGAAAACATTACTAAGACTCTTCTGCCAACAGTGCAACAAAGCAGGTTTTCCTCCTACAGGAGAACAGTCACAGCTATAGTTCCCACCTCCTTGTCCACTTCATTTCAACTGCTCCATAGCAAAATATACTTAATGTAAAGGAATTCTGATCTTATGAAACAGCATAACCTGACACAAAGAGCTTTAATGCAAGGTCAGTAACTTGCAGCAATGACAAGACAGCTACAGTGCCACCTTCCGCGTCTTATAATTCACCATTTAGCATCAGTACTGCACTGGGAAGGAGACTCTGCACACTGATGAGTGCGCAGTCAAGAAAGAGCTGATGGGTCTAGGAAGCTGAGTTAGGCAGAGAGAAAAGTCCACCTAGGACAGAAACCAGCTATTGTTCTGACCTTCTAAGTTCCAAATCAGATTCTTGGGAGAATACTATTCAAATAAGATCCTGGGTTTTCTTTTATGAAAAGAAACTTTCTTATTTTTATAATATACTCATTTTTGTTCTTAATTCTTCAAGCAAGTACCTTTGCCATGCAGACCTGAGGGCAGTCTGCATGTTAATAAAAAACAGTTAAAAATTGGCTTCAAGAAAAGCTAGATAATGCAATCTAAATAAAATGGGCAATAAAGCATATCAATGAAAGTTGAAGTTCCATGGATATTGTTTTCTGTGTTCACCACCAAACCCAATGCTTGCTTTTTGTGCTTGTGCAGCATCACAGTAAAGTCCTGTGGTTAAGTCACGGGAAACCCTGTGAAGGTCATTTCACTCTCACCCACAACCTAGTTTCACTAACCTGACCTATGTTGAACGTCAATGTGATGGCATAATAAAAGTTGGAGTTTGCACTTCCTGCATAAATCCAGAGATGCCATAAAACTGGGAAGAGTAGGGAGCAGACAATAAGTACACAGGAAAGGATGAAGACATTCCGTAGGACTGTAACAAAAAACAGAGGCATCATTAAAATTGGTTAACTGAAACACTTGGCTTTGCACTATATTAGCTACAATGGGATGGCAGATACTAATTTAGAGGGTGGTTCTAGAGACAGCTGCTATAGAAATCCTGCTGGTTAAAATCAGTAATTAACTGCAATTCCTGTAGAGGATGAAAGCTTTGGCAGGTTTATTTTCTGCTGATTTCCTAAGTTCATGGCCCACGCTTCCACTTCTTGGATTTAAGCAGGTGCAAAATATACAAGCAATACAACTGGTGGATCAGGGCGGAGAAAGCTAATTCTGGACTGAAATCTTACTGTTCTAAACTGCAGTGAAAAAATTTGTGCACTTCATGCAGGCTATTTTCCATTTTAGATGCACTAAATACAAGAACACATGAATATTCAAAGAATGAATATTTGATGCTTATGAAACATTTTTATACACTTTCTTGTTTCCAGTATGTATAGATCACCTTGGGAAAAACCTAAAATAATATTCCCAAGGCAACTTACAAATAAAAACAGTTCATGGGTTGATTCCAGACTTAGTCATGCTTGGAGAAGGCCAGCAGAAATCAGTCTGACAAGTTAGACACGCTTCACATGTTTTAATGGAACCACTCTCTAAGCACAGCTAAGTCTGGATTCAACTCAATACATATTCAAAGTAAAACAACAAAATATTAAATGATTCAAATTCAAAAACAAATTCAGAAATTAATTCCTGAATGTGTGGCAGGCATTTCTATATCTCAAAAATATACCAAAGGATACACTCAACAGAGATCGCAGAGGAAAACTCTCCATGAGATTTTATCTCTCTATCTCGCTATCTATCGATTTATATCCTGCCTTTTTCCTACAAAGGACTCAAGGCAGCTTACATCATTCTCCTCCTCCATCTTATCCCCCACAACAACAACCCTGTGAGGTAGGTTGGGCTGAGAGTCTGTGGCTGGCCCAAAGTCACCCAGTTGGCTCCATGGCCGAGCGGGGACTAGAACCCGGATCGTCTGAGTCCCAGTCCCATGCTCTTAATCACTATACCACACTGGCTCTCAGTGTGATTTTGTTTGAATGTGCATGTAAAAATCAATAAAATAAAAGTATTTAATTCTGAAATGTTCTATTAGAAGCTTCATTCACTGATTCTTCCCACAGGTGCTCTAATGGTACTTCCTCCCAACAGTGGTGTTATTGTTACTACATTATCTCTACAATCTGACTTCCTTCCTCTTGGAAGAAAACCCAAGGCAGCTTACAAGAGTCTCCTCCTCTTCATTTTATCTTCTCAACAAGAACCCCTGTGAGGTAGGTGAGGCTGAGAATCTGTGACTGGCCCAAAGGTCACTGAGCTCCATGGCTGAGTAGGCACTAGAACCCAGATCTCCTGAGTTCCACTTCAACACTCTAACCAGTGCACCACACTGGCTCTCTAGAAATCCCATTCTCCATTCTTGTTGATAAGGGTACAAGTTTTTGAAGGTGCAATCAAGTAAGGCTACTGGAACTTAGAGCTCTGCAGACTTCTTATGCAGGGCAGAAGCAACATGGAGGCAAAGGTGACCCCCACATTCCTCCTACCCTGTGTAGCTATTAAATGGCTGAGTATGGTGGTCTTTGGTGTGGCACCTCAGAAGGATGCTGAGGTACTGCCAGGATACATAGCATCTTTGTGGTGCTATGCAGCTATTTCCATGCAGGCTGCAAGTAGGGGGAGGGAGCTCTGAGTGCAGTGTCCCAGCTTTGGTATCAAAGTTGTTTTTCAACACTGGGCCTGGTAGCACTGAAAAATCCTGTGGTCCCCTGGACCCTACCTAAGAGCCACAGGACTGCTCTGCCTATCAATTAAAAGGTAAAATCGATCACTTCAAAAAATGACTAAAAAGTATTCTGATTAATCCGGCATTAACACTACTTGCATATTTCATTCCATCTACTGCATGTCTATACCATCCAATAGCTGAAACTCTCTAAGCAGTTTACAAAGATTAAAGCTTAAAAATACAATTGTATACATAATATAAGAACATTTACATACAAACACATCAGCAGGCAACACCTCCCCTGCCATGCAATTTTAAACAATCAACAATAACAAAATCCAGGGTCTGCTGAAAAACTGCAGGTGACCATTTTAAAAGAAGCACTCCCCTTCTCACACATAACAGGAAACTCAGTGGCTGAGATTATACTTGCTACAGGATGAACTCAAGAGTGAACTAAAGCAAAATGGGTTTGAAAATTTGAAAATGTAGTCAGCCAAAGCTGGCTGGTTCAGATTACAAAATCTGCCTCCTAGAGAAGGTTTATTTCAACAAAATGAAACCTGGAAAGCTGTCTAGGACCTGATAGTAAGTGACTGCAAAGTTCTGAATTTAGAATTACTAGGTTATGCCTGGCAGAGAGAAAAGAACAATCAGAAAGAACTTACATTGATATAGGTGGCTCCAGAGTGGAAGGAAGGCCATATAGAGGGCAATATCTCCTACAGTTGGGTAGGACTTGAAGATGGAAATGATGGCGAGTTGGACAAACATGAAGAAGATGGGATGCTCCCTAGAAAATGAATAAAAAGACTGTAAATAATATGATGCCGATGCTGTACTCTTCTGCATGACGTGCTACTCTGCTAGGGGTGTGTGTGTGTGTGTGTGTGTGTGTGATCTTGGATTGTCTCCCCATCACCCCTCCCCTCCAAATACATGAAATTCTGACTTCTCTGCATGTGTTAAACATCTTTTTATTCTGTTCATAAATAGACTATTGTACCAGAAGTAACAAAGAGTTACTATGGCCTCTAGAAGGCTAACAATCATGGCATTAGCCAAATGTGAGCAATACAAATGCCAAAGCAGGGTTTAAGCACACACCAAGCCAAGAAACGAAAAGCAATCCCAAATGTCAATTCTGCCATTTGTTTTCTAAAATGAGGTGTCCAGATGCTGACAAAAATACAAGTAGCATCTGTTAGAACCTACAGCATCCAAAGCAATATGCATCATTTATTCCTCCTCCTCCTCCTCCTCCTCCTCCTGAATTTGCTTTAACAAGTGAAATCCAGAATAAAGAAATACAATAAATTTCAGATCTGTAATCTTATAGCAAATACACAAAGTTATCAGTGAGAGAGCCATGGAAAGACATATGATTAACAATAACTCTAGAGATCACAGGGCTAGCAATGATACTGTTAACTAGACCAAACATCCCTCTGATCAGTATTTGGCGTGAGAAGCAATAATGCTGTACCAATAGTATTAGGCTTGCAGAGTTAAACTACAATCTCTTGTGGCCTTTGAAACATTTTCAGTATATTAATTACATTTGCATCCAGCCTTCCACCAAAGAGCTGTGCACATGCCACTGCCTCAGCATATGTTTATAAAAAAACCTGGCGGATTAGTCTGTCAGTGACTTGCCCAAGGTCACCCGCATAGCATCATGGCCCAGGATCAATGCTCTATATTCTATGAACTGTGCTGGGTATCCTTGTTTAAATTGGAGGCTGAAACTTAACTGGCTTCTTATCATGAAAGAACGCAGATGATGCCTAGAAGCTGAGTGACAGCCATATCCCCTTTCAACATAGATTCACATCAGTCTAGGCCTATAGTATATGTTATGCTCATAGCTGAGCAGAGAACAAAGCAGGAAGTGCGCACACACATTCTCTGCCCCCACAAGTATCTTGAAAAGCGCAGGCTGATCACAGTTTCTGGAAGGTAAAAACTTGGCCTTGAATTATGCACTCAAGCTGAGAGATACGAAGGTGTTATTACACTGCAGTCACAACATGAGGTCATATGAGCCCCTGCCATACTATTCTTAGCTTTCCAAGCACATGAAATGGACAGAGTGTGACATGGCTCCAGACAAGTAAAGGAACAACAACGATCTTTTAAGATTGCAGCTTAATACATAAACAGGAAATGGAAACGTCTAGGCTTCTACATGATAAAGAATACATAAGGCTGAAAGAATATCCTTTACTGGGAAGACAGCCTAGGGCAAGAAAAATTGCTCTAAGTCTTGCTCAGACCCTAGCATGGAGGGAGATGCTGCAAAGCCATAGTCATGTCCTGAGAACTATAAAGGAAGATGATTCTATGGCATTCCTAGACAGATGCTCCTAGGGACAAGCAGCTTTTCCAGTTTGGATGTGGTTACCTACCTCAACCCCCAATGCTTAACTTAAAAGCTTCATTCCTGGTTACTTTGGCTCTCATTATTTGCCCTTGCCCTGTGTGGCTAGGGAGATGCATGTCCTTAATATTCATTAAGGCAGAGAGCTCCGTAACTGCAACACATTACATACAATGATTAACTAAGCCTCATTATAGCCCTTCCTTTATAGACACTGAGTAAAGAAAATAAAGGGGAGGAAAGTGAGGGAGAGAAAATATAAGATACATGAATCAATTACCCTGTATTAACCTGAGGTCTTAAAACTATAAATAAAGTCTAAGAACTCTGGCAAAGTGTCTTCTTTCACCCACATGAAATCACTTCATTATTGGATTTCTTCTGATTTCTTTCTTCAAAGAATTAATCACATTTTGAAGTATTAAAAGAGAATCATCAACTCCTCTCTCAGCTTTCATGTAAACAACACCATGAAGCTAGTGTATAGAGTTTACATTTTCACAGAGAAATACAGGATCCATAAATAGCAAGAAAGATAAGCAACAATATCCTGATTGTGCAAACATGTATTGAGTTTTCTTGTTTTCTAACAAGACTTTAAAATCTTGGGAAACATGGCTTCTCAGTGTTACTAGCTGAATAAAATGCTGTATCAAAGAAGTTTGAGAGTTTCAATTGTTCTGACTTTATCCCTGAAGGTTTATCTTTGTTTAGGACTAACCAGGTGCCTTTAAATACTTACGGTGGAAACTGATATAATGGAGTTTTAAGTTTAGGACTGAAACTGTCAGTGCTTGAGTTAGTAGTAAGATTAATTTTGTTTGGCTGACTGCCTGGTTTTAACTAAGCTGTTCTTAACTGATCCACCTAATTAATTTTGTTTATTTTTATTCAACTTGTTATATAATGACCACTTTCTCCATGTCAAATTGTCATAAGTAATAAATCTCAACTGAAGTATTACACTTTAAAAGCATATCACAGTGATAAGGTTCAGGCTCTTGGCCATCAGAAAAAGAAGAAGCAGGGTTATGCAAAACTAAGTGAGAATAAAATAATTTACTTACTTTAGTTTCACTGCCAAAGGAATGGTGTAAAAGAAGACATTGATCTGAAAGACGCACACAAAAAAGAGGCTGAAGTGTTCAAACATTTCAGCAAAGAAGTACCAGAACAGGCCAACGTTGGGTGTCAAGTCTGGAACGGAAAGACTGGAATTGACAGAGCAATATTACCATTATTGAATTGTCTATATGTGAATTATCAATAATCATTGTACAATAAGGGTACACTCACAAGTATTTACTGTATACCATACAGTCTGAGTTCCCACAATGCAACAAGCTGCAGTGTGTAGAATGCTATGCAGTACAGCTTCTTTGCTCCAAAGTCCACAATAAGCCCAACAAGTGATCAAGCCCCATGAGAGTCCTGATGCACCTGTTCCCCCTTTTACTCCCCTCAGTCCTCCTACTGGTATCCCTTGGGGAACCACAGGAACGCTAAGAGGAGCAGATCACAGGAGACAGCTGCCCAAAGTTGCCTAAGCAGCACTTGGAGACAACTGTCAGAGATTCATCTCTACTGTTTTGGCGGGGAGGACTGCTTAGCGGGGATGAGCCCAGTTCCTGGCCTCTCAGGAAGGCTGAGCAGAATGCACCTCTTCCTACCTCTAGGATTGTTATATTGCAATTACAGGGAGGAAAAGGTTTTGTTAAACAAGCTTCCTTGCAATTGGAACTATAAATGCCTTACTGGAGACAAGTCAAATACAAATGCATTCTTGTGAGAAAACAGTGACACCTATTGGTCATAACAGCTGATCCAGCAGGTGAACAATGTTAGGTGAACAAAGAAGATGATCAATAAAAGGCAGAAGAGATAATGTAAGTCAAAATAAGTTCACCTCCAAAAAAATAAAAAATAAAATCAAAATATAAAATGCTGCATTCAGGACACATGCCAATTATTTAGTTCCATTTTGGTATTTGGCATTTAAAGGTTGGAATATTCAGATTCTGTGGGGCTTTTTCTACTATATTTTGCACTCAAAGTATTTTATACAGAAGATGCAAAGATTCTGGTTACAGCCTGACCAAACTGGAAACTAGAGCATGATCAGGGTAATGACCAGGATCCATGCAGCTGCCATATGGGTTGGGCCTGTACAGTTATTAAGTTATTTATTGTAGGTAACATCAGCATCCCCAAATATGAAAGAAGGAAAAACATCTTAGGGTTTGTTCACTTGTTTGTTTGTTTTTTGTTCAACTCTGGTAGAGAACTTAAACCTCGCTCTGACAGAGAATCAGTACAAGCTTAACAATTAGGTGCCTGTGAGGCCTCAACTAATATGATTCATTGCTGCAGCTTTGGCTCTTTGTATCTGCGAAATGCCTTCGCTTGCTGTGCTGGCATCTTTCCTGTCCTGTCTGGTGGAGGCAAAGCACCCATAGTTGCATGGAAGTGGTTTTCATGTTTATGTAAGGGATGTGATCAGTGACTATAGTCTGTAGTTTTGCAGGAATCAAGCTGTAACAAGAGTTTCTTGTTGTATGTCCTTTGTTGTTGGCATTGAATACATTTTGCCATGTCTAGTTCATGCATAATCTAAGGTTGTTTTAGATGCTGGATCTATCCAAGGACTGAAACTAGCTGCAAGCTAGGTGACAACTATGCAGATTGTTAAAACAATTTCCATGCAAAACTGACAGTGATCTTTTAGCTTCCTATCTCAACACCACTGCTGGTGAAGCATTACCTGAAAGTACCCAGAAATTTCAGGGGCACAAAACAGAATGCATAGTCCAGCCTTTCCTAACCTGGTGCCCTTCAGTTGTTTGAGGCTACAACTCTCAACACTTCTGACCACTGGCCTACCAAGGGGCTCACGTGAGTTGAATCCAAACCACCCAGACAGCACCAGGTTGTGGAAGTTCACATCTCTGCTCTAAGCAAAGTATACTACAAATTGAGAATCCCTGCCATATAGCCATCTCATCCTTTTTTCTTCTTCCAGTTCATCTTTTTATAGGCAGCTTATCCCATTACCTGAACTGCTGTTATTGAATCACTGAATACAACTTCTCTCAATCCACAGGAACTCCATTACACAAACCTCGGCCATAACTATATGCTATCCAAATATAATTGGCTGCAATTCCCATTTAAAATGCCACTCCAAGTCTAGGTATTTGGTATACTAGTTTATTTGAAGCTGCTTATCTGAATGCTTAAAAGATCCTCCAAACCATTCAGATAAATTAAGTTGTACTACAGAGTTGCAGCAGTGAATCATTCCTAATTAACAACATTGGAAAAGAGCAGGCATTCACTAATAACAGAGGCTTAATATGGTATTTTAATTGCTCTTGGTGTTTTGTGCTAGGAACACATAACTTGGGAAAAATACAATTGTTTTATACATCAGTGGATCCAATGCACAGAAACAAGTTCAACTTACATGAATCCATAAACAGAGGGAATGAAGTCCCAAGAGTTGAGCATGAAAAATGAGAGGCATATAATCACCATCAGACTTCCTAAATACAATCCTGCATACTGCACAGTGTAAAGCCAGAAGTCTTTGCTTTTCAGTTTCACTGGTATGAACTGACGCTAGAGGGGCAAATAAAACCAGAAAATAAGTTTTATTAAATAGCAACATGCAATTCCATTGGTAAGCAAAAAGCATGAGAGGCTTTTAATTTTAGACACTAACTTCAAAGAAAAGGCAACACATTCTACGTTAATTGAAGCAGGAGGAGTAAGTTCAAGGTACATACTGCAGAGCTGGAAACTGGTGCAGTGCAACAGCCAAGAGGTAGAGCTAAGACTAAGGAAACTGTCAGTTCAAATCTTACCTCTGACCATAGCAAAGATATGCTTTCACAACCTCAGTGCCCCATATGCAATTTGAGATCAATAATACAGGCATGCCTTACAGGTATTTCAAGAGAATGTAGTATACTAAAGTAGTATACTATTTTTTTATTATTTATTTAGAGTTCTTTTTTTCACCAGAATTTTTCAACCAGGGCATCCAGGAAGAGAAAACAGAGCACCTCCCACACAAGTTATATTTTATGCCTGGACTTAAAATTGAATGGTGGTATTTAACAGGCATCCCTCCAACACTTGAGTCAGATGCTCAGAAAAAGATATACAAGTATAAAAGACAAGGACTAGTACAGTATTTGCAACTGTAGGTCTTGTTCAGTTATCAGTCATTGGTCAATAGGAAGAGCTAAGTGTGGAATTAAACAGGCTGGAAGGTCCAAAACTAGGAGAACCTAGAATTAAATGTATGACTAAGAAAGCCAGATACTAGGCATTCAGATCACAGCATCAAACACAAGGAGTCTGGGTAGAGAAGAAAATGGCAGGTTAATCAGGAGAACCACTCTGCAGAAACATTGCTATGATAGGAAGAAAACCCAGGCAAAAACATTGGGCAGGAAGCAGACTCAGAGGCAAAGAGGACTGAACAGAGATGCCTAGTCAGCAATTACTAACACCATTTTTGCATACACAAAAATGCTTCTAAGGAATCTCTCAATGTATAGGTAAGGCAGCCAGTTAAAGAAAGCTGGTTGACTGGAGCAAGAGTTTTGGCTGCTATTAGCATTGCAAGGAGGTTTCTTGGGAGAGGTACCAAGGAGAAACCACAAAGAGCTCAAATTAAAAACTGTTGAAAGAGTGGCCTGATGTAGGAATTTACTACTACTACTACTATTTGGTGAAAGTTAAATTCTAAGATAATGTATTCATCAGATGAGACATACATATGGTACCAAGCAGGAACTGTTGTGGATATCCAGATAACCCTCTGCACAAATGTGTGCTAGTTGTTTATTAAAAACTTATAAAACATACAAAATCAACAAAAAGCAAATTCATAACAACAAATGTTACCTCTGTTGCTGTAAGGAATAACAATTTAACAATCTGGCAGGATTATTTTGAGAATACAGAGGAACATTCATTTTAAAAACTTCCAAACAAACTGTGATGTTCCAGTGCAATTAAAAGCCTTTTTGAAATCCCCATTATTAGCCAGAAGACATTCCATATTATTGCACATCTGCAGGCAATGTGCTACAGTCATACAGAAGTTGTGCTCAGCAATGAAGAGCTAAGTGCACAGCTGGGAGGAGAAATAAAGCAACAATTCCCCGAGTTTAACAGCAAGAGCTTCATTTAGATTTAACAGGCAGTTTTTACCACTGCACAGTCTCTCTCTCTGTATATGTCTATAAAAGTAACAATGACATTCCAAATGTATTTTGGTAAGAAAGCTGCAGACACAGCTTGATTCCAGTTATGCTTATTCAGGAAGTAAGTTCCCCTGAGATCAACAAGACCAACATCCATGGAAACATGCTTATGAGCACAACTGTAGACTTAGTCTCAAGGTGTATTTTCAGGAAAGAAAAGACAGTCCAGGAAAAAGAAACTATTTTAGAAAATTTGTTTTGATAAAAGTATAATTCTATATAGAACATCAGAAGATATGCTATTAAAAAGCGTAACTGGGATCAAACATCTCTCTCTCTCTCTCTCTCTCTCTCTCTCTCTCTCTCTCTCTCTCTCTCAAACACTAAAAGAAACCTACATGTGAGTGGCTGAAACCCTGACAATTGCAGTTTATAGGTCGCAGCTTTGCATCTCAGCGGAGGCAGATTTATGGTTAAGTATATTTCGTCTAGTGTTCCTTCTATTCTGCAAAGCAGGTCTACAAATAAGGATATACCTGCCTATCTGAGTCTTTTCTTTGGGCGATCACCTTGTTTTCATTAATATTGGGAGAAAAAGAAACTTGCTTGACAACTATATGAATGAGACTTAGTGCTTTACCTATATTTATGGACCAAAACAAACCAGGCATGGAAGATCTTTAAAAGACCCTCCCTCCCTTCCTTCCCTCCTTCCATGAGGCTAGCCAAGGGCACTGGACATATTAGTGTCCATGGGGATGAAGCTGTTTAACCTTTCCTCCTGAACTAGTTTCCCCATCAAAATTTCCTTTGAAGCTGTCACTAGTTCCTAGCCTGACTTGTTTGTTGTTCAGAACTGAAAGGTGGCATAGGGAGAGAACCATGTATGCTGTCCTGAGCTCCTTCTAATCAAACAAACAAGCCTTCCAAAATTAAAGTTTGCCCAATAAAAATAATTTTAAAAATCAAGCGCTCTAATCGTCAATTTGAGCCTTCCTGATGAATGGTCACCACTGAACTGGCTGGGAGCCACGCCAAATTTCATTTTCCTCCCTTTATTTAATCTAACACTTGCTTCTTTTCTGTATTCTGCTCCCCTGTTCTTCCTCCCCTTTGTCCACAGAGCTCAGGGTAGCATATAAGGATTTCTTCATCCACATATCCTCCAACCTCAAAAATACCTGTCAAGCACAAAGTCTGCAAATCAAAAAGTACTTGCATTTTTGGGAACGATACAACATTAATAGAATGCACCAGTCTCTGGCAAGATTAACAAAGGGCTCCGCACTTCTTTATATCAGACCCCCAATCCTGAAAAAGCATCTTCTGCTCTCCACCAGTCTAATGTGTTCTGCCTTTCAGAGCCATTTGTATATATGAATAATTAAAAATTCCATCAGCATTTGATTCCCTGAGACTCAGATCAACATTCAGAAAAGCAGAAAGACGATACTTTTAATGACTGCAACTTGCCTTCTTCAACAAAATGGCAAGTGAGATAAAACTGTTACAAAGTACAGTGTTTCTCTGGGCTTACAGGATTCAGGGGAAAGAACCCTCAACAAACTCCCCATGCTTGAGGTGGATCCCCATAGGCAAAAATCTGGCGTTTCACAATTTGCTCAATGATTTTGGTCACAAGAGAAAGAGACAGTGATTCAGCAAAATTTCAGGCTGCTTCCCAATTTTAGCCTCCTGCACATAAGTGAGGCTTGCAAATTGCTTCAGGCCCTGCCGTTGCAGTATCCACTGATTCATGTTCGCTAATCTATTATGATTCATAGGAACTGGCTATATCAAAAAGGAACCTTGCCTCCTGCGGTGTATTTACCTGCAATAAATACAGAAGTGCCGGTGCAAACAAGGTGAGAGGATACAGGGACTGATATGTTGCTAAGGCTAGAAATACAGCACTGAGGAAGGCACTACCTGCAAAACAGGAAAAGTGAAATCAATCTCACAGCTAATAACTGCAATGGTTTAATATACAAATAGGTTTTTAAAAATAGAAGCTTTTGGCCAACACAGGTGATAATATTCTCCAACAGGCAGCCTGGAGAGGTCCTCCAGCTGCTTTCCCATTGCCGCACTTGCCATAGAAAAGAGAGCAATGGGCAGTGCTCTCTAGAGCAGCCAGCAGCTTTTTTTTTTAACTGAGGGCAGTGATTCACCCTACCCACTCTCCTGGCTGGCTAGCTGCCTGCCTGCTCCCTCACTTGCGTAGCCAGCAGGCCAGGCTGCTGCTGGTTTTTGTCTGCCCAGCTACTCTGGCCTTGAGCCTCAGCCATGGGGCCCTGTGAGAGGCTTGTGGAACTGTGCAGCTACAACGCGAGACAAGAGCTGGATGGGCAGGAGCAGGCAACTGGCTGAATAACTGAGAGGGTGCTCAGCAAGCAGACGGGCCACCTGAGCAAGTAGATATTTGGACAGGAGAGGCAGCACTGGCATTTCCACCTTGCTTGAGGCAGCAAGGTATTTTTCACCAGGCCTGTCCAGCAAATAAGAAGCATCAGTGCAATTTATATTTTTTAATACTCATCTGGCTTCTGGGCCCTTATATTAATACTCAAAGGACAGGATTACTTTAAGGGATATCTTTAAAGTTGTTTATGTCTCATATGCAAACAAACTGGATATAATGAATATATGTATGTTAATACATACTAACTATTCCTCTTTATAATGCTTTTAGCAGGAATATTTAAAATGGCAAGTCTCTTAAGTGCATCCTATATTTTGAGACCAGAAACTTAGCTCCACTACATATAATGACGATATGCAACCAGATGACTTTGTTGAGTATACATTACTGTTTTGTAAATGTTGTTGAAATGTACACTATTCTTTGAATACCACAGGTTTTTTTTTTGATTGTGACTGAACCTCAGTGCAATTGTAATGGTGATGAGAAAAGTAAAGCATGAAAAGTTGTCCTACTTTTTAGACTTGCTTTTAGAATCACAAAACATTCTGATCTGGTTGGCTTGACATCTCACCTACACATATTTTCTGTGTTTAAGGTGGCACATTATTCAAGTGTTATAAAAAGAAAAGCAGAGTGGTATGTATATTTTCTCAAGTGCATTACCTTTTATTGTTGCCAAAATGAAGAAGGCAATGACAGTATTGTTGATGGCACAGGTGGACTTTGCAACACAAGACATCACAGTGTACGGATTTAAGAGATAACTGGAAAAGAATAAATATCCATAATCAAACTCCCGGAACACATACTTAGCACCAACTTTCTCTCTTTATACCTCTCCTTAAAACAACTCTTTTACAAAGACTTCAGCTTAACTATCCCTTTAGATCTCATCCCCAACTGATGCATATCCTAAGTATACGAAAGTGTACTTCCCAACATCCCTTCATTACTCCTTCCCTTCTCAATCAAAATTAGATTATCAACTGCTTATAGCAGAAAAAAGTTTTTTTTTCTCGGCTTATATTACTCTATTAAATAATATAAGGGTAAAGTTAGTTTCTTTACCCAAACTAAAGGGTAAAGAATGCTAGTCAGACAGTATTCTGCCATCTCATTTTTATGCCTAGGCTAGGCATGCTTTGTCATCTAAAAATGGCACCTTTGGTACTCTGCCAAGTAAATATTGCTCTTGCAAACAAACCTCTTTATTTTTCAGCACAAGATAATTACAACAGTCCAAAGGGGAATGGAAAATTTCAAAACCAAAATAGTACACTTAACATTCAATCTTATTCAGAAGGATTATGCTATAAACAGGGAAAATGTCATTTTTTACGGGAAAAGGCATTGACAGAAGGTGAGATTAGAGTGGGTAGAGAAGTCTTGGTTCAGAGGAGGGTGGTGAAATATGTTTGTAATGAGTAGAGCAGAGCAGAAGATTATATATAACAATAACGGAACTACAGAATATGCATCTGAAGGGCCTGGACTGATGCCTTTATAACGAGGTATGATAAATATTAAGAGAGATTGAGGATTCATCCACAATAATGTGGGCTCTCTCTGTATCAATTCAAAATGAATCAGTATCCTTCCAAATCCCTATTCAAGTAATATCCACAGTCCTTATCCCCACTCCAATTTCAGCCCCTATTGGTTCATATGTAATGACAACCCAAATATAAGTTGTATATTTGTCATTACATACAAATCCTGTAATATGATTTAACTATGCCTTGTTAACTATGAACAACCCAAAGTTCACACCCCAACAACAAAACATGCTTTCTCTTCCTGTTGATGGTTAACAACCCATAGTTAAACTATAATGCAAGGTCTGCAGGTCTGAACCCATAGTTCAACAACAATCTGCCATTCAACAACTCTTACTCAACTGGTACTATGGGTTGTTGTAATGTGTGTATCTGGGCACTATGTTTGTTTTGATTTAAATTCAGTGCTCTCTGTTTTGGTCTTGGTGTGCGCCAAACCTTTTTAGTAGAATTGCTTTTGGTCTGTTCTTTTATGGTGTGTAGTATATGAGACTTAAACACATGCTACCACTGGAAAATAAACATATGGCTATAATTCTTCATGGCTGTTTTTTGTTTTGTTGTTTTGTTTTGTTTTGTTTTGTTTTACAGAAGTGAATTAAATTATCAGACAAAGTAGCCCTTTCAGAATGAAAAGAGCCTGATGAATATCAGATAAAATGGTGCAATGTATCTTGTGCAAATAGTCTTTGTATATTTACGCTTATTTCTTTTAAAGGGAATTCCCTGTGACTTCTTAATATCTTGGTAGAACTGAATGACATTTGCAGGCACAGTCATCTCTACTGATGCGGGGGAGGGGAATGAAGCCTACCAAGTGTCAGATGAATGAGTACAGGGATTTTGTGAAAGAGCAGCCTTTGCAGTTTGAAGACTTAACACACACACACACACACACACACACACACACACACAGTACTTATCCTACTACAGTACTTCTACTCATGCAATGAGGCATCCTAATTCAACTCCAAGATGCAAATAAATTTCTCCCAGCCACATCCTATGCTGTTCTTCAAACAACTTTATGGGAGAGAGAAAATGGAGTAATGGGAGGAAAGCCATACTGTGTGAACAGAACTTCACTTGTTCTTCTCTGGATCCAAGCTGAATTAAATACTAAGAATAAATATTCTCTGTGTTAGAAGACTTGTGTTCCCCAAAGCAATACTTACAAAAGTGCTACCTTGAGAGGGACATAGTACATTTCCATGGGGGTCAGGATGAGTTCAGTTGCATCAGGTGCATATTTATCCAGTTCTATTAGCAGTTTTTGCTTTTTAAACTGGATATGGGAGAAAAAAAGTTTGTCAGAAAACACCGTATGTATTTCTACCCATCAACATGGTCCCTCAGAAAACAGTAGTATTTTTGGACCACAACCAACATTTATAAGCCCATTATTTGCACTTCTCCTTAGCAGCATTGCACAGACAGAAGTAACTTGTATAACACACGCGCATTCACGCCTTTTCCAGAACTGCTGAAAAATTATTTGAAGACTATTTAGAAATATATTGATATAATTGTACAAAAGGTTGTCACTTCTTTGCAAAATCAGTGCTCACCTTTCAGAACATAGCTTTAAAAAAGCTTGATTTACAAATATTACATCTGCAGTGATTTCCATTCCAAATTCATAACTTAATGAGGATGAAGTCAAGCCACAGTTTATACGGAGAGTTATTGAATGAATAAATGCAGTTGCTTAAACCACTGCACCTCTATCTCTTACCGCTATTGAAAAAAAGATTCATCAATATAATGAGCATATCAATCTAGTTGCTATTCCAAAATGCAGTACTGCCAGGTTCTGCCAGAGATTGATTAATACAATGTTTAAAAGTGACGAGCAACATCCAGTGTCATGTGAATGGGACTTTCCCCTCCTTGCCTCCCAACCAATCTCCATGCCCCGCAAAGCTACTCAGGAAGCTGCCCTCATTCTTCCAGAGAAGATTATGAGGGCACCCAAAGGACTGTGGAGAGAAGGGGAAAATCACGCACATACACCATTCCACTGGTAGAAACTATTCAATCAGCAGGAGAGGTAAATGCAGTATTGTGCATCGAAGGTAAGAATGGGAGCATTTATTGTCTAAGAACTTGTGAAGATATTCCCTGTAGTTCATATTATCAGTCTTTGCTTATACATAGCAAGAAGTAAAAAAAAAATAGCAATAAGCAGTATGACCTCACTTGTACGACCTATTTTATGCACACTGAAAAAAATCCATGGAACTGGGTAAAAGTATTGCCATGAGTGTCTATTAGAGGAGAGGTTAGCTCTTCCATTCCAATACCATGCTGCAAAAATGCAAAAAGGTAGTTTCCAGCAAACAACAGGACAAATGTGGTGACCAATAGTAGAATCAACTGCCTCCGTCTTTCCTCTCTTACCCCTCCACCAATTTTTTAGCAAACAATACTGCATGGTTTCAGGGTAGTATACTACACTGTATACTTGATGCTAAAACAGCACTGGCAGAACTGCATGAAGAAAACTTTAGCACATACTTGAGAACCTAGTTTCCACCAGTGCAATGTCATTGATACTAGTGGAATAACACAGCCGGGTATTTCCCCCAGTATTCACACACGTAAAATCACTAACCACTGTGATGGGAGTACGGTGGTAAATTTCAAAAGCAGGTTTTCATCCATGAGAGACAAGCAACAAATGGGATGTGAAAATGTGTATTAGAAATAAAAGTAGGGAAGGAGAAGACAGCACAGCAGATGCACTGTAATAAAAGCTGAATAAAAAATAACACTGGCTTACTTACCAGAACTTTGGTGTAATCTTGAATGGCCAAATAGAGGGCTACTGCAGTCAACATATCTGTTATCTGAAGCAAGGATCACCAAAAATAATGAAAAATAGTTGAAAGTACTAAATACAACAATGGAACATGTATCTTTCAAATTAACATCAGATTCTGAGCCAATTTGTAGCAGTACACTAAAAATTCAGGGTGGATTCTCACTGGCTCATCAACTCCTATAAAAGGGCTTGGGAAACTTTTTTGAGAATCTAGTACACAGCAACTTCAAATAAATGAAGAAGTTGTATTTAGGGAGTTCCAGAAAAACATCTACTTCTGCTTCTTTGACTATGCTAAAGCCTTCGATTGTGTGGATCACAACAAATTTTTTGTTATTTTTGGATTTTTTGTATTTAGTGGTAATTTATTATGTTCAATTGTATTTCAATGTATTTTATTGTGTTGTAAGCCGCCCCGAGGCTTCGGCAAGGAGCGGCATAGAAATATAATAATAATAATAATAATAATAATAATAATAATAATAATAATAATAAAAATAAAAAAATTGTGGCAAGTTCTTTAAGAGGTGGGAGCACCAGATCATCTTATTTGTCTTTTGAGAAACCTCTATGTGGGTCAAGAAGCAAAAGTAAGAACTGGACATGGAACTACTGATTGGTTCAAAATTGAGAAGGAAGTATGGCAAAGCTGTATATTGTTCTCCTGCCTAGTTAACTTATATGCAGAGTACATCATGTAAAAGGCCAGGCTAGATGAATCACAAGTAGGAATTAAGATTGCTGGGAGAAATATCAACAACCTCAGATACACATACAATACCACTCTAATGGCAGAAAGTGAAGAGGAACTAAAGAGCCTTTTGATACCGCTGAAGGAAGAGAGTGCAAAAGTTGGCTTGAAACTCAACATTAAGAAAACTAGGATCATGGCATCTGGTGTTATCACTTCCTGGCAAATAGATGGGGAAGAAATGGAGGTAGTGACAGATTTTATTTTCTTGGGCTCCAAGATCACCGCAGACCGTTACTGCAGCCAAGAAATGAAAAGACATTTGTTCCTTGGGAGGAAAGCCGAGGCAAATCTAGACAGCATACTAAAAAGCAAAGACATCACTCTGCCAACAAAAGTTTGTATAGTCAAAGCTATGGATTTCCCAGTTGTAATATATGGCTGTGAAAGTTGGACCATAACGAAAATTGAGCACCGAAGAATTGATGTCTGAATTATGGTGCTGCAGAAGACTCCTGAGAGTCCCTTGGAATCTTAATGGAAATCAATCCTGACTATTCTTTAGAAAGTCAGATACTGAAGATGAAACTCAAATACTTTGGCCATCTAATGGAAATAAGGGCTCACTGGAGAAGACCCTAATGCTGGGAACGATTGAAGGCAAAGGGAGAAGGGGACAGCAGAAGTTGAGGTGGCTAGATGGAGTCACTGAAGCAGTTGGTGGACTTAAGTGGACTCTGGAGGATGGTGGAGGACAGGAAGGCCTGGAGGAATGTTGTTTATGGGGTCATGAAAGGTCGGACATGACTTAAAGACTAAACAAAAAAAAAGAGTAGAGATTCATACAATTATGTTAGTTAAATGGTAATAGTGAAATGGATAAACAGTTTGCCTGCGTGAAGACAAAAAGTATCATAGAATAGACAGGTCTCTTTTTCAGCACAGGATATAGTTATACCTGATTTTTTGTTTGCCAACTAACCCATCGTATTACAAGGTAAGTATCACTTTAGTCCTAAAAACACCTAAACAGAATCCCAAACATTAAGATTACTATCTTAGGGAATTTTTACAGCTCAGCTCAGCATCTAACAGTCTTTATGCCTTGGTATGTGCATTCCACTGACATACCTAGTGGCTGAGTTGGCTTTGCAAAAACTCTGATTGACCTTAAATGTGTTCAAATTTACAGAACACAAACTGGTCTGCAAGCCCTCAGAATAAACCAACCTACAACCAGTTTTGTACCATGCAAAAGGGGCTGGCAGAAAATCCTAAATGTGTTTCCTTGGAATTAAATTGAACTGAGCTCAGAATGACTTATTTCTCTTATCATCTGATCAGAGAAGCTCATCAGAATAGAGATGTAACTTTAACAAATGCCACAAGTTTATACAATAAGCTCAAACAACTCATTGTTCCTTCAAGATTTCTGAAATGTGGATGTTACCAGCAATGTGATAAAGCATAAATGTTGATCAGTAAACATTCTGAGTTGCTTATGCTATGCAGAGCAAGTGACCACAACACTTTATTTTTTAAGTCTCCTTTTTAACATACATTCATACAAACATGGATTTGTATATATCCATAGTCATGAATACATATGGAATGCATCTCACTTGCTAGCAATTATATATAAGCTTTAGCAAAAGCTGACCAAATATCAAAATAAGTATCCATATGATGTTGACATCTAAATACCACCTGTTCAAATACTGAAAATGTTGTAAGATCCTCAATCCATCACACTAAAGCAGGTGAGTATTTATCCTTCCAGTGTTGTACTATCAGTCTTTTAATTGTCAAAAGGGAGTGTGGAATCCTGTTACAGCAAACATGTGTAATTTTCATGAAGCAGGCAAATAAAGAGTATGTACATCAATTTGTACAAAATTTATTCGTAACTGCCCTCCAAAAATACCCTACTTCTGCCAAAGTAAGTTATTTTTGCCAAAACATATGTTTGAAAGAAACATTAACTGTATTGCACTACCAGCAATTAGCCAAATTAGATGATCCCATATTAAAAAGATGTTGTAGTGTCAAATATACATAGGACAAATATTTTTGTTGAAAGGCCTAAGATCCATACATATGACAAGCAGATGTCAAGATGGTTATTTACTGATTAGGCATTTTGTGGTAGTCCTCTCAGCTGTTTCTGAAATGTGCTCACAGGTCCAAAAAGTCTGGGGACCTCTGCTATACAATATGCATATAATCTCAGAGGTGTTTAGGGGGAGTTCCAGGAAAGGAAGGAGACAGATACTGCCTAGTATCCTTCCTTCTCCATCCAAAGAACCTTGGTTGGATGGCCAACATCTACTTGAACTGGAGGGTAAGAAAAACATGAAGATGACCTTTGCCTCCATGTTCCTCCTGCACTCCACAGAATGCTTGTGATCCTCCAACTTTGTAGGGTTACAGGAATCCCAGCTGGATTGTGCCTTAGCTCATGAAAAGTACAATCATTTAAAAGAGACACATTTAGGATAGAAGACTGCATTATCGGAACCCTCCGTCCATCTTAAACTCTGCTAGCAAGAAGCTGGCAAGGAAGAAGGAACAGAGGTTTGGGGCTGTTTTGTTTTTTTGGCCTCTGAGCCCACTGAACTCACTCCCTTGTTGGGAACAGATGCAGAACTCAGCAGGCTTTGGATCTGGCTAAGCACAGACTCTCTGCTCTCTGTCCATTGACCTGTCCTCAACATAACTATTTCCTCATCTCCTAAAGCTGCAAATGCAGGGGAGGAATCTACGACAGACCTTTCCATAGCAGCTGGAAGGAGACCAGAATAAGGTAAGGATATTGGAAGAGGAGGTCTGAGGCCTCTCTGGTCCCTCATTTGCTGTCTAGGAGCCATAGGATTGCTAAATGTACTGCCACCTGACTCAGATTTCTTAGAATAAATTTCCAAAAGTCACGGGGAACAATTTCCATACTGAATGCACAAAAAAGTGTTGTGGAAATGTCTGGTGTCAAACATTTGCCAGCTGACTATCCCATGAATAGTACAAGAACCTCTCACAGCAGTTATTATGTGCCTTTAAAAAATCACATCACATAATCACCCCTGTTGCTATGATGTTTAGGAAACTGTATACATTCAGGAAATCAAGGAATAAACTCTGAAAAAGAAGCAATCATGCTGAGGATGAAAATTAAAGCAACACCTACCATAAATACCAGTTCAGCATAATCAATCAGGAAATGAAAGAGGTATATTATTAGTGGAGTCTAAGGAAAATAAATAAATAAATAAATAAGAGAAACATGATTAATCCAGGCAACTTTTTTCAGATCAAAGCAATTAACGGTGTTTTTTTTTTTTTTTTTTTTAGCCTATTTGTGGCAATGACACACTCATACAAGTCTATACTTGTGGCTCTGTGTAAAAATGTTACATTATCTTTGCAGACTATAACACAACATGAAGCTCAGCATGAGTAATTCAGATATAATTTACACTAAGACAGTTAAGCTTCAGTTGGTAAAAAAATACTTTTGCCACAGTCTACTATACGAAGCAGAGGACTTTGCCACTGTCCGCTATACAAAGCAGAGGGTGTGCTGTTGCATCTGTACGTATGCATCTGCCAAATGGACTACTGGCAGTCAGTCCTGACTCAACCAATCACCTGTGGGGAGAACCTTAGCAAAACCTCCAGCTCTGAAGTGTGCAGGGGACAGAATCTAGTTTCTGTACAAAGAAACACTCGGACTTTACTAGCTGTGCTGTTACAATGGTTCATAAAGAGATACACCTGTACTGGGAGCATGCTTTAACTACAGTGCTGGTGAAGATGCCATAGATGACTGCTATGGAATCCAGGATTGCTTCCATCCTCCAACACACTTTGTAAGTGTCAGACAAAGACATACATGGGCAAAGGAAAGTCCTGTTATTCTTATGGGCTGCTTGAGCAGCACCAGAACCTGCTCTTTGGTGATGCTATTGTGGTTTTGGATTTATGTGAAGACTCATAAATAATTGAAGGAGAGTGAGAGGAAGGGGAGCACTGCACTGTTTTGATAATTGTTCCTCTCTTCTACCCTTATTCAACAACTAGCCAGTTCACTTGCCATTTAAGAACCATATGGCAGTGAAGGGGCTGGCCCCTGCTCTTACACACCACCTATGAACCTATGGGTGGTATCCTTTCAAGAAGAGGGAATTAGTTGGAAGAAAGCTTCACAAACCATCAGCATCACCTCAACCTCTTGCCCCAACTGCCTCAGGGATAAAAAGTCAATAAAAATGAAGCACTGCATACTTACCTCATGGAAGATATCTCCAGAATATGGAGAGACACCCAAGTCAAGTAAAGCTAGCCCCTCGACCACTGAAAAATAGAAAAATGACAATTTCAAGATTGATCTGCTTGGGTGAATTCTCAGTATGTTCAAATACCAATTTGCTTTTTAAACCTGTCCTACATTGCATTGCTGACTGCAATTTAAAACAAGCAAAAGGCCTCATGCTGGTACAAAAAATCTCATACTGGGGCAATGCATCCTGATGGTATTTACATGTCTATTGCATTTAATTTTGAATCTATTCCAACTGAAACCATAGAAATACCACAGATATAATACCACCCTGCAGTGCCAAAATGGCAATAAAGCCACAAAGCCTCATAAAGTGCATGGTGTGGGGCTGTCCCATGAAGCTAAGTAGTGGGAGGTCCAGGGCAGATAAAAGGAAGTACCTCTTTACACAGCACATAGTTAAACTAGAGACTCCACTACCATGATATGTAGTGATGGTCACCAACTTGGGTGGCATTAAAAGGGGATTAGACACATTCATGGAAAATAAGGCTATTAATCACTGTGTTCACATCTAACACTAAGGTATGATGTATTTTAACCACAGTTTGCTGCTTTAGCCATGGACTGTCTTACAAACAATGGATTTTTCTCCCTGTTTCAGGCTGGTTTCTCTTCCACCCATTTTGCCAACTTTCTCAGCATTCCCCTTTTCAGGCTTCTCTGACTGGGCATCTCTATTTCAATGCAAATAACAGTACAAACAAGGCAGGGATAAGCCACATTTTGTGGTTCAACAATCATGACAAGCCATGGATTATTGAGTTCTATTTCTGGTTTATAGTAGGTTAACAAAGCAAGGTTTGTTTGCAGAGATGGGTTCAAACACATAAATCCAGATTTCAATACACCATACCATAGCACAGTGGTATGTGTAAGCCAGGCCAGTAGGTATTAGTTATGATGGTTATATATCACTTCCAGTAACAAAATCAGTATGGCTCCATACACCAGTTTCTGGAAAACATGTGCAGGAAAGTGTTTTCTCATTTATGTCCCATTTTTAAAATTTTTGACAGACATTTAGATGAGTATTGTGAAAATAGAATGCTGGAGTAGACTGTGCTTTTGTATTATTTAGTATGACTCTTCTTACAGACTTATCACTTTCTCAGTACTGTATAATAGGAACTTGAGGTGATTTCATCAGACTCAGCATAAATGGAGATGATCTGAGAAGACCAGAAATTTTTGTGTTCTGCAGTATCAGAAAGAGCTGATGTAGTACAACCAAACACACAATTAGATAACATATATGCAAACTACAATCCAAGGTGAACTATTTAGGGCCTCCCTTGAAATTATGAAGGTCTATAGTGTGTTCCATATACAGAGGTGTTCAAGGTACAGTATCCAGTGACGACATAGCACTAGAATTAATGACATTGCACTAATACAAACTAACACTATCCAATGTCGTTGCAGCTTTTGGAAACCCATCACTGGCCTTGCCTTTGACCAAACAAGTGCTAATAATGTGAATGTTGGATGTTGCCCCAGAGTCATATTATAGACTACTTTCATCTGGGCCAGATGTGATTAATGGAATGATTTGATGAATCTATATGCAACGTCAGTAGTATCAGTATCCTGTTTTGTTGTGTTTTGCACTTCTGCATTATTAGAGAAATTATTTTCATGGTCACAGAATCCAAGCTGGAAGGAGTCTTGCAGCCAACCCAGTCTAATGCAGAAAATTCAGGGCTAAGTCATCCCCAGGCATCCAGTTTCTGCTTGAAAACTTCCAGTGAGGGAAAGACTAACACCCCTCAAAGTAATTGGTTAACTCTGAGTTGCTTTTATACTTAAGATATTTCCCCTAATGTTCAACCAAAAATGATCAGTCTGTAACTTAAGACCATTAGTTTATCCAGCCCTCAAGGATATCAAAGAACATGCCTTCACCCTCTTCTTTTTGACAATTCTTTAGGTATTTGAAGAATGCTCTCACATCTCCCCTTATTCTTTTCTTCTCCTTGTTAAACTTACATGATTTCTTCAACCTTTTCTCACTGGGATGTGTTTTCCATATCCTTGGCTTTCACTGTTCTCTGAATCTGTTCTAACCTATGTACATTCTTCTTAAACTGTGGAAATTTGAACTAGATGCAGTTCCCTACTTTATTAGCAAGAACAGAAAAGAGATGCGGAGTAGGAGAGGTGTAGGGCAGAGGATAACCCTTTCCCATCAGTCAATTTCCAGTGGATCACCTTCTGGCATTATTGAAAAGAATGCTGGGTGGTGTGGGCTCTATTTTACATATCCTGGCTGCACACTTTGATTTGTAAATTTAAAAAACTAGGCCAGAGATCCTAGTTAAAAGAGGAAAAAGACTACCTGATTCAATACATCTTTGATATCGACTACCTATAACTCTTTCATTATATATCTTAGGAGAAAAGAGAATAAAACATGCACACACAAATTTCATATAAAGTGATACTGAATAAGTACTGGATTTTAAATGATATGCCTTTAATACTGGTTCTGGTAGAGGACTTCCACTGTAAAGTAGTGCATAGAAAGAACATTGATCCATCTTCACTTATGATACAGTTACAAAGATACTGGGTTTTTAAAATTAGGTCCTTTTATAACAGCAGGAATGTTTTTACAATCCCTCTGAATCTTCTACTGAGTATCATAATGTCATAGCAAAACAAAAGTTAAGTACAAAGCAGATCAAACGGCCTTAATTGACTAACATGTGTATAGGTTGAAGATCAATGGGTAATTGTCTGCTGCCAAAGCATCCTACAAGTGCTTGTTCCACACTGCACCTGTTCCACAGACAGAAAGTATTCAGCTAGTTGCCAACATATTTTCTGGCAAAGCTCTTGCAGCTTTTATATTAGTTTGACAGAAAAGATGGGGCGGGGAGAAGCTCTTTCCCTCCCGTTTCTGTGTCCTCAAGACAAGAGCAGGTTTGGCCATTCACTTTGTGCAAGTCGCACAGCCATTAGTGACACAGGAGCCTTGCCCAGGAAACACTTGGCAAACTGAAAATCTCCCCCGTGATGGCACTTTTTGAACTACCTGCCACGCCCAAACTATATTTAATCCGCGGGCATAATTCTAAACTAAGAACGGATCCTAAGCGACTAGTAACAACCACAGCAATTGCAGCTCATATGAGTGGGGTGTCTCCTCGAGCGGCTGGCCGCCCTACATAAATCTTTGCCCTTCCCAACCTTAATTCCAGCCTGTAGGCCTCACCTCGTTTCCAGGCATTTAAAGGGGACGCCACCTCCACCCTCTCGGAGATGAGCCCTGCCAGGCTGCAGCGGTACAGCACAGCCCGAACTGTCACGGCCACCAGAAGCACCAGCACCAAGGGAGCCGCCATCTTAGCTGTAGGACACCGGCCTAATGCCAGCAGTAGTTCCCAGGCTCATGTGTAGCGCCTGGTAGTTACAGGCAAGCTTAGGTAAGAAGACTACAATTCCCAGAATCCTATGCGCTACGGGCACCTTTCCTTCTCGAGAACGACGGTACGGCAATGGGACAAAATAAAGACGGGTTAAGTTGACGAAGCGTTGCCCTTGTTATAGTGTGCGAAAGGTTATCATTTCCCTGCTAGTATGACGTTACTGATATCTGTTTATTGTAAGAGAAATTGTCCATATGATTATTTCAAATCAGACCTCTCCTAGAGAACTGGAATCCTTCTTTAATTTATACTTCTCACAGAGCTGAAAGCCAGTTTATTTTAATGTATGCCTTTAGCTAGTTTCCGTTCTATTTCCAGTACGGTTCAAGAGTTCTTTTAAGAACTCGGCATAAGTAGAATTGCAAGGTTATACTCACTTGCATGAGAGTAAGTCCGACTGAATTCAGCGGGACTTACCTCAGAGTAGACGCGTAAAGGTTGGGCAATGTTAAGTTGCAGGTCTATATACATTCTGTCCCGGGAGCAATCCCTGTTGAACTCACTATGTCTTGCTGCTGAGTAGACATGTACAAGATGACACTATAAGTATGTAGACTCACTTAAAATATTGCGCGTAGTTATGGTCAGTCCTCCCACCAAAAGAAGGACTTTAATCTTTATCCATAAGTTTGCTAATTGTCTCTAGATTTAAAAAAGAACCACTACCATTGGCAGAAGAGGATATCAAGTTGTAATTTGGCATGTACGTGGTCCATGCCAACAAGTGTCCATGCCAAATTGCACCTTTGTAGCCCACGGCTATTTTTTCAGGGTTTCTTTTTTGGAGGGGTGGGGGTGGAAAGCACCCTTGCTACAGAATTCTTTGGTTTTGCAGGGAGATGTCCATGTGGCCCTGGGTTGTGCTGCTCCTGCAGTATTCCCTGGAAACAGGGATTGGGGGAGGTTGGGAGAGGGGACAAACAACCCCTGCTGTACCTGATCGTCTGTCAGGCACAGATGAATTTTAACCTCAGTGTATGGTTAAAACCAAGAGATAGAACGTTTTGTGTGAATCCAGCCTGCATATAGCTTGCCTTGTTTCAGAGAACTTCTGCTAGGTTCATGAAGTTTGTGAAGAAGTTTTCTTCTTTATGTGAGGCTCCAGATCTGAGATTTAATTTTTGATCTTTTTCTGGAGGACATCAGGTTGGAGAAGGATGTCCTGGTAGAACTTGAACTGGAACCCCATTTCAGCTTCTTTTAAGTTTCATGTATTGAACATAAAATGAAAAGATGGGCAATCAACCAGGGTAGAAGTAATAACTAGAATCTAATGTAGTACTTCTGCTTTTACTGAAGGTGGCATGATACATCCTCCTTCTGCCAGTCTAGAAACAGAAGTCCCTACAGCTCTGGGAGGGATGTTTTTAAAGTTAGACTCTCCAGTTATAAATGTTCTACAGGCAGACAAACATCTGGACATTTGTTTTCCATGTCAGTAATGGGCATATCAGTTAATGAAAAGGAAATGATTCCTCTGTGGCATCTATATTATTGAAAGCAGCAAAATTGATTAGCATCAAAAACAGAGGAAAATGCCAAAGCAAGTACATGTGATAAAAATGGTCTGGCAATAGATACAAGTGTTAAACATTAGAGGGATAGTGAGATTCAGAGAGTTTTTATTGAATACTGGAGAATAAATTACAATAAAGAAGTTGGTAGATTTATGTTTTACTATCCCACAATAATTTGATTAATTAATCTTGCTATGCATTCTTATGCATGTCTAAGAAGTCAATCCTGTTGTGTTCAGTTGGATGTACTTCTGGTAAGTTCATGTAGGATTCCAGCCTTAAATTATTTTTCTCTGTGAATTATTGATGTAGTGTTTTATTTTATTGGTATTTTGATTATATTAAGATGATGATTAATCTTTTGTATATAAATAATTTTAAAAGGAAAACAAATGAGCCTGGTTGCTATAGCTCATTTCTGCTTTCTTTAGAAAGAGAACCACTTCGATATGTTAAGAATTAGGCCTATCATGCGTATCAACCTGCACTTCCCCACAGCTATTATATGACACCAATCTGAGAGATTGAAAACTCCGAGAGACAAGATCTGGGCAGGTACAAGCAGCTTTATTGAAGCGTTTGCAAAGGCTGGCTCAGAGTCTCAGTTGCCTGAGAAATGAAGAGCAATTATTTCAAATATCAATGAGACTATACATTCCTTTCCCCAGTGCTCAACATTATCCCCGCTTCGCCATTGGCTGGTTACTAAGAAGTCACAATCCTCCCCATCCACCTACATCATACTGCTCCTTAATATGTTCCCCCTCCCGCTCATACATCCCATGTTCATGCTAATGAGCCTATTACCTATGAGAGGTGTGTCAGTTACTATTCATAAGCCTATTAAGCGTGTGCATTATTTCCTAAGGGTTCAATAGGTGGGTTTGGCCTTGCAGCCTTCTTGCTTGATGACCACTTATCTCCCAAAACTTGTGGGAGGATGAGATAGGAAGAACAACCCTTCTTCCAAGCTCATTCCAGTTTCTGTTCCTTCCTTCAGTTGGATACGTGCCTGTATACTTAGTAGCAAATGGCATCTTACTATGAAATAGCTGTGCGTTTGCTATGTTTTTTTTCTCTCTTTTTAAAAAGATACTATTCTTGCTCTGTTTCTCACAAATCTGATTAATGTCATTCAAATGTTTACACATTGCTGTTATGTAATGCTTAGGTATATGTATATGACATAGGTATTTGGCTTTTTAAATTAGCTCATTTGTGGGTGAATTAATCTCTTTCAGCTCTTGATCATCAATGACATCTAGGTTTGTCAGGTGTCAATAGTCACTGAACTGATAACCTTAAGAACAGAAGAGAATATTTACCTCCATATTTGGCCCATCTAGTCTGGACATTTAATTCAAAGAATAAAAAATCATGAAAAACTGAATTGTAGGCCCTGGTCTGTTATTCTTCTACCAGCTCAAGCAGACATCTTGGCACCAGTCCCACTCATGATAGAAGCTGCCCAGGTGTGTATGACCTTTTCAGCCCCAAGGACTGCAAATGAGGCCAAGTGTACGCAGAGGGTGTACACGCACACACACACACACACACACACACGGGGAGTGGGGACAAACAAGCATGCATCCCAGCAATCCACACCAATTACTCTTTTCTTGCTCCGAGCATTAATAGAGAAAGAATCTGTATGAGGCCTATAACCCCCATTGACCCTAGCCAGCATAGCCTATTATGAGGGGTCTTTTTCATTTCATTTATTTATTAAATTTCTAGACTTTGCTTGTTGTCCTGTTAGGGTTCTCTGGGCAGTGAACATCGCGGGAGCTTAAGGCCAAAACATCTGCAACACTCCCTTGTTTGCTAGCCCTTAGCAGATTAGTAGTAGTTTGCAGGGTAGGAAACTTTGATGAGCTTTTTTACAGGCTGATATAAACCATTGATATTCAGAACAAAATAACCAAAATGAAAACCACCACCACCTTAAAACAAGAATGTGAGTTACTCATCAAACAAGCAATCTGATATATAAGGCTGCATCTCCTATGAACATAAGAATTCCTGAACTAGACTTGAAGGCACACCAAGTACAGCATGCTGTTCACACAGGGACCAAACAGCTGTTACAATCGTGTCTGTGGATTCACCATAGGCATCTGGTTGACCACTGATAGGACAGACAGATGGGTCAGTGAGGCCTTAGTCTGATCTAGGATGGTTCTTTTTTATGTTCCTTATTGCTGATCCCAGAGAACAGAAACATAATATCATGTTTCTCTTCATGGTTTGTTAGTCTCATGATGAGGCTAGTATTTATACTAACAGAAAATGGAGCTTGTACAATCCACATATTCTATAATGCCCTTTGCAAGGTTTTCAGAAGGACTTTAACTTTAGTTTTAGTTTTCCCTGCTGTCATTTTTTCTGGCCTTTGTAAAAACAAATACATTTAAAAAACATCCCTTATATAACTGTTTATATATACTTAAAACTGCTACAAGATAAACAATTTCAATGAAAAATGATAAGTAGGTGATATTTTATAGCATTGTACAATTGTGGGATGGAAGATTTGAAATGCAATAGAACTAGCATTTTAAAATAACCTTTTTCATTATTTTCCTTTGTTAAAATCAAATGAGGTTGTTTTTGCTCTGAAGATATCAAGGTTAAAAAATGAGTGCTTACTAGGTTGCATACACTACTGGCAAGTTTAGAGAGTGTTAAATGTGTACTTGCCAACCTTGCAACCTCATTTGCATGTGAAACACGGGGTAAAACAGTATAAGAAGGAAAAAAGAAACTCTTGCAAGTAAATGTGGCTTTTGTGGTACCATCCTTTTTTCAGGCTGCAATTCTAGATACCCTTACTAGGGAGTAATGGACATAATAGAACCAAACTCCAATTAACATGGTGAAGCATGCTAGTTTACCATGTCTTAGCTATGATCATATTCTCTCTTTTGTTTATAATGAAATATAGAATAAACGATATCCAACTACGCAGAGTATCTTTCCCTTACAACCGGATTGCACCTGTTCCTATATCCTTCAAATTAACAACCAAAGCAACTTTAAGTAACACAATTATAAGGTGCTTACACAATACATTAATAACAGGAAGAAGCAACTTCATAAATGATACAGTACCCATACTTTTCAGTTCCCATATCATACTTAGGTAGCTAAGGTAATCATGATTGTACAGAAATAACACAGCAATGAAAACACAGAGAGAGCGAGCGAGCACACTTGATCCATTAGAAGCCAGATTTTTATTTTCGAACCATTCATGGATTTTAAAACTACCGTCAAATTTGTTTGATGAATCTGATGCTTTCAAGGAAGTAAATATTTATGTGTATTTCTAATCCAGCTTTTGCAGTCCCTGGACTCTTAGCAACCTCTAAACCATAACTTTGTAGCTTGTTTATTCAA